CATAAAAATTGAATTTGGGTGAGGGGGTGGGGAGGGTGGGGGATATGTCTATGGTGCGACTAGGTCTGTGGCTGGCAGCTACTCTAGATTTATAATCTTGTTATCCGCTCAAAGATTGGTTAACTTCAATTTCACCTTCGGTGTGCAAACGGTAACTGGTCGTTTCGCCAACGTGTTAGTTCGTCAACGCCAGTTCGCCAACGTATGAAGTCGATTCGTTAACGTACGAAGTCGATTCGCCAACGTATGAAGTCGACTCGCCAACGTTTAATGTCAGTTCGCCAACGTCCAAAATAATTGTAGTTACAAATGAGTGAATAATAAACAACGCTTCTTCACGAGTAATCAAAAAAATATATCGGGAGTCAATCGCTATTTAACTAGGCAAGTGTTAAGGGCCCATTTCCATCCCAGATCCTTTGCAGCCGTTCGTTTTTGTTTTGGAATCGCGCTATTGTTAAATAACGAACTCTGATAGTCATTCACAAACGCTATTAAGAAGAAAAACAAAGATTTGGTGAAGAACACAGTAAACAAATTTCCAGCTAAAATTTTTGAGACTGAAAAATCATAAATCGAGTCTGTGTATATAAAACTTGTACAAAGCTTACTTGATGTTGAAGGAAATTGTTTGGCTTCAGCACTAAATAAAATATAAACAAATTACCAATATTGGCCAAAACTGATTTACTTCACGCATTTCAATTATAGAATAATCACTTCTACAAATGAGATCGCTTACATACATATCTCAGGATCTCAAGTAAAAATCAGTCAAACAATTATTCTCACCTCGAAAAAATCTCCCGGAGTCTCTAGTTCCATCGTAGGAACATTGCAATAACGTTTCTGCAAAAGCACTGTTTGTAGTATTACCGAACCCATGGTTGTCTTCCTTGCCCTCCATAAATCATACACAGACTCTCGAAGTCGAATAACCTTTGCCGAGCCGGGCAGACACGGCCTTCCTCTAGACCGCTTCTTCGGCGGCATCAACTTTTCAAATGACGTTTTTCACTGTCATACATGTAAGAATTAAAAACTATTTACTGATATAGATACTACGATAGTTTGTTGTTCGCACATGATTCAAGATGGAACTTTGAAAGCCCTAATTAGTAAGATGGAAGAAGACATCAAAGCGATTCCGCAACTACGAGGAAAATAGCGTATTTTTCATATATGAAAAATGATCCGGGAACGCAAGGCATCTCGGTTGGAAATGGGCCTTTAAATAAAGATGTTTATACTTTACTGGGTAAAAGCCATGGATCGTTTTCAATTCAAACAAGATCAGCCGTCGAGGAAATGAGAGACTGGGAGAGAGTGAAACGAATAATTTCAAATGATATTAATCTACGAACACACGTGTATACATCAAAAGTAAAATTTTATTCCTATGGTCATTTGTATTTATAATTATTTTGAACGTTGGCGAACTGACATATAAGCGTTGACGAACTGACATTGGACGTTGACGAATCGACTTCGTACGTTGGCGAACTCACGTTGACGAACTGACGCGTTGGCAAAACGACCGGTAACCGCGCAAACACCTCCTCCAACCAGTTAGTAAGGCATGGTGCCTGTCACTGAGAAACTTCACATTTCTCGAGACCCAGGGGCCGGAACCTTTAATTTTCCGCAATGGTATCTACTCACGGAAGCATCGATTATATCTTTTTGTTTATCTTTCAGACCACTAACGTCAGCAGCACCCTCTGCAAAATTGGACAAAAGCTGAATATCAGCGTTGAAGTCTTCCCAGACACCCCAGTCACTGTTTACTGGCGCTGGAACAAAACCGATAACTGGACAACGGGACCCTTGGAGTGTAAAGAACTGGGCTGGCATGATCTGCATGTAATGGTCGAGAATGCTATCAGTGTCGTATCCAGCGAGTGTTACAACGAAATTTTGGGTAAAATCAAAATACTGTCAAAAGCTACTTGTTTCACATTGGTGGTCGTGAACGAACATATAAATTGTGGATGACATGCTGTCACCATCTTCTAGATTCAGCTGTTAAAAAAAAAAAATCGAAAGCTTTTTGAACAGGGTAATAATCTTACTGCGGTATCATACAAGCAGTGAAGAGATTTAAATCACTTATGCTTTAGTAAGGCATTGGCCACATCATATAGTTAAGTAGTATGATCTTGCTTTCAGATGGCTTTAGATTGTTCGTTCGTTTGTTTGCTTGTTTATTTTTTTACATTTTCTGTTTTCATTACTTTTCAGTTGTTGATTATAATTTTACCTTCAATCCTGAAATTGGAGCCCTTAATAGTACCGTGGAGATAACGAGATCGAGCGTGGCACAGATTTCGGATGAAACAAATTACACGTAAGCAGCCATTAGAACTCTTTGGCCATCACTCGCGCTTAAACTCACTCGCACAATAACTTGGCTTTATTACTCTCATTCACTCAAAACATGATATAAGAAATGCATCCTAGAGAAGTCTATAGATTTTAAAATTTCCGTAGTCTTTTGATGTCATTTTCAGTTGTACCTGTTAATGAGTTATTGAGTTTACTGAAAGCACGGTACAAACTCTTCCGCAGTAACAAAAAAATAGATTGGGTCTTCATTTAGTCCAGGCAGGAAAAAAGTATTAATTCGCTTTTTGACACTCACTGATTTTAAACACCTATTGATTTGGAGAGAGCCTTTTCACTGAAAAGTTCGATGCTGCACGGATTACTGAAACCAAATTTCCTTGATCCGTCGCGCTTGAAAGTTTCTTCAAAACTAGAGGAATCCTAGGGTGCCCTTAAACATAAATCTATCAGCTAGATCTCCCGCAATCAAGTGACAAAAGGCTCTAGAAAGAAAGGCTTTAGGCTTACCAATAACTTTCTAACTTGCTAGGTTTATATTGGAATTTGAAGACGAATCCATTCGATGCCCGAACAAAACATTTTCAAAGGTCTTTACGACGGCAAATCCAGATCCAGGTCATCTTGTCACACTGTGGATATACAATCAAGAGGGTCATGCAACCTTCCTACAGAAGTACATCAAAGTATATGAACCTGTTGAGCCTCCCATCAAAGTCTCGTACAAAAACATCAGCGGAAAAAACAAGCCGATCGATTTTGTCATTGAACCTCACAAAGGACATGGTGTCATGTAAGTATATGCTTAATCTGCTGTAGAATACCAAAAGTCTGTTTTTCTGTCCGTATAAAGCAAGAGCTTGGGGAAGAAAGAGATTTTGACGAAATAGTATGTGTAGAATTTTAAGTTCGCTTTCCTCAGACTTTCAGTAGGCTAGGCTCCTCCTGCTCTGGAGTATGAGGCATTTATAATTCTACGGCAGTGGACTGTTTCATTGTGTTTCAAGTGCCAGGAGCAGTTTTGTGAATACTTCTTCAAATAATCTATTCAAGTCCTAAACAGACCTTCCCACTTTTACCCTGCGGGTTTTATCTTTACGATCCTCTTCAAGAGCCGAGTTTCCCTGTGACCTTAAGAGGCATTAAGGAAATAATTAATAAAATCTTCCTTTTTTCACTAACTACTAGAAAGTTTTGTGTGAATCTTAGTAAACAATAGGGATTTAGAAGGGGAGGGTAGATGTCAAAAGACTTGCAGGGCTCAATTTGGGATTAGAACACAAAGTGTAAGTAACAGTTTTTAAATTATCAGGTTAATGCAAAATGTTTTGGGCTCGGCAAGACCAGTGCCATCTGGCTACTTGCCCCAGAGTGCTGGAGGGCAATGAAAATGCTTGTCACTTGACTTGTGGTTGCTCAAACCCTAACCCAACTGTAACCCTAACCCTAAACTGTAACCCTAGCATCAAAATACTGGAAAAAGGTCAATGGATTTCTGCAACCCCAACCCTAACCATTGGCTTAAGTCGAGACTCGCCATAGCTGTCTCCTGAGGGTGTCAAATACCTTAGTCAGTCAGGTGATTTTAATTTTTTTCATTATTTAATTAAGGTGCCAAAAACATCGATGATATGCTCGTATTAAGTTTTTTTCTCCCCTTGATCCTCTGCTCTACAGATACAGATGGGAGTTTGGTGACAATTCCACAGTCCTAAACAGTACCAATCGAACAACGACTCACACGTTTTCGTCCACTGGTGATTTCTGCGTCCTGTTGTCAGTAACAAACTTCTTCTCCGAGGCCTTAATCAATTTGAAAATGACGGTTGTAACAGCGATAGATGGCTTTGGATTTGTTAAAAATATTACTACCGTGCAAACAGGATCTCCTACAAATATTGGCATCGAAGTAAGAAATGGAAGTAATGTAAACGTCTCCATCGACTACGGAGACGGCTCCCCACCCCTGTGGATAGTGAATATTGATGACGTACTAGACATCTTCGTTATTTCGGTGTGGCATAATTACAGTGCACCTGGCCTCTACAATGTCAGTATCAAAGCATTGAATGTCCTGAGCACCCACACAGCTACGAGCATAGCTGATGTACAAGATCCAGTTCGGAATCTTACCATTGAGGTAAATAAATGCATAAGTAATAGTGTAAGTAAAATGAAGCTTATAGAATTGATGAAACGTGATAAAATAATACGAGAGATGCATTCAGTCAGGAAATATACACAGCCGAGGCGCGAACACGAAAAAAAAAAAAACCCTGAGAAAATTCAGGTTTAAATAGAAAAAAACTTCGAAATGCCAAAGTCTGGAAATTCTTCTATCTCAATTTAGATAACTTCGGATCAATAATAAGGGTAGACCTACAGGCGTTCCTTTTGAAATGTAAAATTTTTATCAGTAACACCATGAAAGCTGTTGATATTTCCCTTCAGAAAAAGTACGATACCCCATGTCTTGAAGTAAATGGGACACTCAGGGTTCATCTTACCGTCAACGGATCCAAACCTCGATTCATCTACAATTTCGGCGACAAAAAGAACGTGACCTCGAGTGAACTTATTAGAAACCACTCATACATTACTCACGGGGACTATGAACTCAACATTACAGCTTTTAACGACATCAGCAGTGTTTTCAAGATGAGCACAGTTACAGTGTGCAAACCAGTAGTTCTCCTCGTCGGCCTCATTGTTACCAGCCCACCAACGAACCTTAGTGACAACGTGGAGTTCACCCTTAATCTCGGAGAAGGTTCCGACTTTGAGTGCGTCTATAATTATGGAGATGGCAGTTTTGACTACTTTGGAAAGAACTGCTTTAATAAAACATACTTTGCAGACGGTGTTACTACCGATAAAACGCCTTTTTTGAATCTGGAGTTCAAAGTCAGTCACAATTATTCCGATGCAGGATTCTACACAGTTTTTGTGAACTGTTCAAACAGATTGAAGGAAGTCAACTTCACCTCTTTCGCAATTGTTCAAAAGCCGATAGAGGAACTTGTCCTACCTGAGATTTCTCCCAAGATTCTTGGGCGTTACAACCCTATCACTTGGACAATGGAAAACGGTACCAATGTAACTTTCTCGTTAGAGGCGGATGGAACAAACATCAATTATACCTCGTTCAAAACGGATACCGGAGACGTTTTGAACACAAGCCTTTCTCACATATACTCTGTGGGTGTCTATCTCGTCAAGCTGCGAGCCCAGAACAAAGTTTCCGAGGCAAGTCGCTCGATAACCCTCATAATCCAAATTGACGTAACAGACGTGACATTCAAAACTTGGACAACCACTAGTGACTTTGGGTCAAACATCCCGGGATTTGGAAGCGGTAACAACATATTTCCCTGTGAATACCCCGTAAATTTTACCGCTGAGCCAAACAATGGAACAAATCTCACCTTCTGGTGGAGGTTCGAAGATGACAAGGAGAAAAATACCAGTGAAGCTACGACTACCCACAAGTTCGCTGAGGCTGTTGGCGAGTATTGGACAAATGTAACCGTCTTCAATCTTGTTAGCAGCGTGACAAGGATGTTTGTACTCAAAACAGAGAAAAGTATCATGGGCCTTACTATTGATGATGACAGTCCCGTGAAGATCAATCGGACAACTTCCTTTCAACTTGGATTTTCCAAATTCGGAACCAAGACGTGCATCAACATGGACATGGGTGATAACAAAGGTTTTTTCGTGTTCGGGGGAAGTTACTGTCCGGGTAATACAGGCGACATAGATGAAAACTCCAATAGCTATGTTCATAGGTACAATTATTCCTCTATTGATGAGTTCTGGGTGAAAATCGTCGCCAATAACACTGTGTCAAACCAAACACTCGAGTACAAATCGGTCATAGTGGAACTTTCTTGTTTCTATCCTAACGCCTCCTTATCGGGTAAGTAAGTTTGCTGTTTTTGTTTTCATAGGTTCAGTTATTCCGGTCATTACATTCCTTGTTGCTGTCCTTGACCATTACGTGGCTAGAAATTCCAACGTAAAACGTTATCTAAGTCTCGTTCGCATTCTAATTTGGCGTGACGCCAACAATCTCAATGAACATAAAGTAGCCAAACATTTTTAACCTGTGGGCGGCAGAATGACTTCCATCTCACGAAGACCGTCAGGCCAAGAGACTGATAATGAGGATACCGAGAAAAGATATCGAGAAAAGATCCGTTAAGTATTCGGAAGAATTACTTTACGGCTTCGACCCGAGACGATTAAATTTCAAATCAAAAGATCAAAATTTTTCTTGAGAAACCATGATACAATTTAAGAAAGAAAGGTGGAACCCTCTTTGGGAGACACCAAATGGAACAGAAAAGCTATAACCTAAATAGAGGAGTCTTCACTATAGATAAGAGGAGCAGAGGTGCAATTTTTTCAGCCGGCACCAAAATGCTTTTCCCTTAGATAGAAATGTTACCGGGAATGAACAAAAAGAAGGGATCTTAATAAATCAATTTTTTTTGTTATTTGGCAATTTTTTTTAACCAGGTGTGAGTGCAAATGTAGGCATGTTTACGAAGAAAAAACGCTCGGAATCCATCCAAATAATGACGGAGCTAGAGGTTGATTGTGAAGCCTCAAAAACTACTCTTTTCAAGTGGAAATGTTTCAAGATATCATCGAATCAAAAAGTTTACACACCGCTTCCCGGCAAGGGTGAAGAGATACCTTTAGCAGTGGATGATCAAGCTGAATTAAATATACCCAAAACTGGACTTGACTTCGGTTTCTACAGGCTTGAGTTCACCGTCTCCATGGCAAATATTGAAGGCGTCTCTGGGTCAGCGGAAGGGTATATACAGGTGGTGCCCACCAACAATTCTTTGACGGCTTTCGTCGATGGAGGACTATACAAACGGTACAAGTTTGGAAAAAATGTAAGTTTAATCAACTCCAAACATGAAGGACAAAAAAAGATTCAGAAAAGAGAAAGAGAGATGTCAATGAAGGGACAAAAAAAAAAATCAGACATCCTTCATAGCATAACACTTAAACATTTTCCCGATCTTTTTCATGATACCATTCGTCGGTTTCAAAAGTGATAGAATAGGTCACTTCTCGGCCGCCCGCCCGACTCGTTAATGGGTCAATTATTACAATAATAGTCTGGCTTTCATCAAGAGATTACAGTTTACAGTCTCCTGCTTTCATAGAACGGCAGGAAATTCAAATGAATGCAGTTATGTTGAAATAATAGTCTGGCTTTCATCAAGAGATTACAGTTTACAGTCTCCTGCTTTCATAGAACGGCAGGAAATTCAAATGAATGCAGTTATGTTGAAAGTCCCTTAATGGTCTGCGTGGAGTTTTGACTGGATGAAGCCATAAGAGCCTTTCATTTCATAATGCTCTGTATATTCTTACGGTTCTAACTTTAAAGAAGTACTGTTAAGATGACAGGACCTTCACTGAATGGGGATATCACGGTGTTTTTTAATCTTTATCTTTTTTAATTAAATCGTTATCATTATCAGTTGCCATCGGAGTCCAAATAAAAGACGATCAAGATGTCCTCTGAAAAAATCCAAGAACTTACCACAAAGCTTTCTCTTGAGTTTATTTGTGCAATTATCCAGAGTTAGTTATTAACTCTGATTTATCTCGCCTTTTCCCACTAGATTACTATGAATGCCACGGGTTCAAAGGACATAGACTTTCCGAAGTTGTCTGAGGCTTCACCGAGATATTTCTGGCTTTGTCGAAACTCAACTGAGCCTGAATTTGACACAAGTGGAGATTTAACCAAAACTGAAAAAGTTAGGGTACCCTGCAGCGGCAGCCAAAACAAAACGGAGGTAACTTATAATTAATTTTTTTGATGTGAAGAAGATTCAGCTATGTTGTTGCCTATGCCATTCCCGACGGAAAACCTACGGCTGCCAAATCATCTTTTCCCAAGTCATTGCCATCCCTAAAAGTTCCGTGATCCAAAAAATTATTTTTTGTCCAGATGCAGATATTTTAAAAAAATGATCACAGAAGCGTTGTTGATTTTTAGTAATTATCCTATATGCTGATTTCTTTCAGAACCTTGGAGGCTGCTTTAAAACCGGAAAGGGGCGCCTCAATATCTCGGGTCCTATCGGGTACATAAACTCCAGAGGAATGTCAGAAAATTCTACGTAAGTATGAAGGAATAAGGCGTGCATAACAAAACAGCCATGAGCTGACTATGAAACATACATGTCCTCAAGGGGACGACAGCCGGCTACTTCCTTGACATTTCAGCTACTTCTGAAAATAACGCTTTCAGTCAGAATTCTAAAAGAAAAAAACCCCAACTGATTTAGGATGATCCAGATAGAAAGAAGCATTTTTCTGTCGCGAGTTATTTATGGATATATATTTTTTGAAGATTCCAGGATTATCTATCCATATCCAATATCACTTTCCTTCCTCAAATACGATAACAATTCTCTTGCTACACTGTTACTTGAAGGATACCTCAACTTTATCTACACCATGCCAAACTAACAATGCCGAGGCAAAGTTTCGAGTTACTAAGTCAATGACGTTTAGACCATAAAGACATACAATATGTTATTCTGTTCATAGGTACTTCATCACACTCGTCGTCATCGACGAAAACCCTTTTTGGAGTAACAGAGCTGTCTTCAATCATAAGATGGAAATTGTCATTGGCGACCCACCAGAAGTGGAAGTGAAGTAAGTACTTGTCATTTATAAGACGATTAGATACTCATGTTGAAAAAAAAAAAGAAAAAAAAAGGAAAGCCTTTGAATTATTTATTTATGTATTCATTTATTTGAATACCTTCTTCTCGAGAAAGCACCTCAAACCTACTTTCTTGAAAGAAAAGGCCTTTAAGGAAAATCCGCATCTGTTGTCACTACATTTATAGTCTTTCGAACTCCAACTACGTGGGCGTAGGTAAAAGTAAAGGAGGATCAGTTTTTTCCTTTAATTTACCTCTGGTTAGCTATCTAGATATCTCCACATGTTTATACGGATAATGCTGAAGCTTTTCCGTCGTCACATTAGTATCTAAAAAAGAATATTTACCATCTTTCTTCAACTATTGACGCGCACAACGTTTTCCCTCCCACAAAGAAGGTACTGGGATCCAACTATCAAACGGCTAATTGATCCTCGATTAAATTTTCATGTACGTGACTCGATCAAAATTTTTCACCATTACTGGAAAGTAGGATCTATGAAAATCGGGTCCGGTGTTCAGGTCTGTGTTCAACGGAGTTTGGAAACACCTTGCTTTAACCAATAAAATTCAACCGAATTTCTCGTGTCACTCATTCAATTAGATGCAGTCCTGTGTGTGCGTCGAAAGTGAACATCGACCAAAAACTGCCTCTGAGGGGTACTTGTATAGACTGCTATGGAGAACTGGACTTTCGATGGCAACTGTATAGGCAAAATGGTGCAGATCCCACAAAGACTGGGGAGATGGAGCCGGTAAAGCACCTCGACAAAAAATCATCTACAGGAGATAAGTCACTCAACCTTGCACTGAAGAAAAACATACTAGTAAAAGATGAACAATATGTAGCCGTTTTCAGAGCTTATCGGCTTAGCGGGCAATACGGGGAGTTCATCCATACTTTTGAGACTAATTCTCCACCGGAAAATGGTAAATAAATCTATTTTGCCGTTCTTGTAACTTCCCTAAAAATGAGAAATTAACTGCACCGCAGGAGAGCTAATCCAATATTTTGTGACTCAAATAAACAATAGTCTTTGAATTAAACTGATTATGTGGACAACCCGTTTGTTCAAAAAACAGTCAAGGCGATGAGGATTTTGTGTTTAAAACCTTCAGAACACTCAACAAGAAGCCAGCCATCCTTGCCGTACAATACTGGGGATATGTAAAATAATTACGGTCTTCTTGTTTCCCTAGGGACCTGTGAAATACACCCCAAGATAGGATATGCCATGAACACGTCGTTTAGGATAAACTGCTCTCATTGGATGGATCCTGATCAACCACTGACCTACGAGTTTGCTTACGTCAACTATTATCAGGACAACGTGTTTTTTACGTCGCATGAACCTATTTCGTCTTCAGTACTTCTTCCCATGGGACACGAATCTAAAAATTTCACCCTGCATATGAGGCTTAAAGTAATTGACAGATTTGGAGCTGCTAACGTTTCGCAAATAACAATTCAGGTAGGATGTCACATTAATAAAATAAATAAGACTTCAAGGAATGCTTCGAAGTAGTCACTATGCAGCGTGATAATTCTGTCATATTATAAATTACTGACTTGAACATTATAAAGATTTATCATAACTATATCTTGTTACTATATCGTTACTACGGGTTACCTGTGGCTTATGAGCCTTTGTGTGGTCAGCGGTCTGACACCCATGGCGGCCATCTTGTTGTTGTGAATTAGGCTAGAGATTTACGTTGATTAAACCTAACTTTCAGATCAATCTTCTTGTTTACTTTGAACACAAATTCATTTTCACTAAGAATGCCTGGTGAAGACAACCGTATTAGCGCTAATTTACCTCAAAAAACGTTGATAAGGTGGTTAGAGAGTGTTGAGTTCTCCTCCTCACCGTTATCCTCATCATTGACATCATTACTATTATTATCATTATCAATGTGGTAATTAATAATAGTAATTGAACTGAGTGCAGTGCAATTTGGGCTGAAATCATACGTGTGATTTCAAAATCGAGCGAGTGCGCAGCGCGAGTTCGATTTGAAATCACACGTATGATTTCAGACCAAAATTGCACGACTCGAGGTTCAATTACCACTTTATCACATCCATTTTGAAATCGTCCAAATACAGGACTTGGTCAAATCAAATATTTTACTGAAGCAGTACTGAACTGGTTTTTAAATAAAAAGCGGAACCAGAAATGCTTTTACATCTTATTTTGTATGCAAAACAGAAAGACTTTGACGTCACGTGTCAAAAACTCAGTCAAGCGTAAAATGATGCGATTTAGAGCAAAAAATGGTGCGATTTGGGAATAAATCGCATAAATTAGAGCCAATCAGATTACAGGGACCACCAGTGATTTCAAAATGGATGTAATAAAAATGATAACGAACACCTACTCTGGAATAAATATATATATATGTATATGTATATAGTTGATTACTCAATCTATTTTTTTTTTTTTAAAGGTAAAACCTACGGACCTGAGCGGCGACAAACTTCATGAGCTAATAAGTGGCAAGGATGGCTTGTTGAAAGAAGCTAAGAAAAGGGGAAACTTGCAGGAAATGGTAGAAATTATCAACGCTGTTGGCTCGATTTTGAACTACCAAGGAAGGCAAGCCGGTGATGCTGTAAACAGGAGCGCAGAAGATCAGGCTAGCGCTAAATCTCGACAAGATGTATGCTCAATACAACAATTATTCATTTCATAATTAGATATCAATCGAACAAGTCACTCTCAGGATGCACCATCCTTGCTTTTTTGATATTTTTCTGTCGTGGCAAAGATCATTTCAAGTTCTCCCTTTTTTAAATAATATCTTTGACGTTCATAGTTGATTACTCAGTCCTATTGGTAGGTTTTATGACCAATCAGAAAACTTAGGTTTTTCTATCTTCCCTTCTTTCTCTATGTTATGGTCAACCATAAACATCGTTTAGAAAACTTGAAACTTACAAGACTTTAACTTAAAGATTCCTGTTTGTTTACCAGAATACTGATCTTATCCATGCCCCGGTTGTTCGAAGGCCGGATATCGGTATTCCACCGGATAAATCTGTATCCGGTGGATAACGCTATACGTTTTATTAAGACTTATCCGCCGGATAGCAATTTATCCGCCGGATAGAAATTTATCAGTTGGATGGCGTTATCCGCCCTTTATATATTTTCATATTTATATTTAATCACTTTCACCAGAGTATGGTGAGGGTCGCACAACAGAGCGAGGCTCCAAATTAAGTGCGCCCAATATCTCACCCATCCCACCCCAGGGGAGGACATCCATCACACAGTAATCTCGTGTGTGGGAAATTAACGTCTCCTACCCCAACCCTGCAGGAGACGGGACCTCCATTTATTCGTCCCTATCCGAGAAGACTAGAATATCTAACCATTTCAACTAGGCCCGTGTGTTTAAGTTACATAAAGTTTTTAACACAATTGTGTAAAGTTTTTTTTTTCTATTCATAGCATAAAACATCTACTTGTTAGCAAAAAAACCCGCATTTTTCCAGGCTTAATAACGTGCTAAAGCCACTTGAGACGTTGAGAGAACACTCTGAAAGCTTATAAATCGCGAGCCAAAGGAGAGTGTTTTCCAAGCTTTCCTCGTGTTCTCCCAACTTCTTTCGCTTTTATGACATAAATACTTAGATGCGGGCATTATAAACTGATAACGCATACGCTTGGAAACTGAATTGACCAATCAGCGTACTGCGTACTATGTTCATTATGTTATAAAGTTCCACGTAAAGGACCCGTTAACAAAAATAGTGTCCTCACGGCTATCAGCAAATGGATAATTTTTTTCCTTTGCCACCCCATGGAACTTCATTTCTTTTAACTTTGTTTTTTAGTTTCGACGTGACATTTTGAAAGATCTGTCCGAGTTTAAATTGTCTACAGTGGGTCATGTCAAACTGCTGGCCTCAGCCATTGACGTGGCGACTGAGGTTCGAGACGAAGTGGATACAAAATCTCAGGTGCGACTGATTATTACCACTAAAAGACCCAAGTGAACTAATTGATTCTTGTTCATTTCCTGGCTTGTTTAGCACAAAATGCAAGGACAATGAACAGGTCATCGAGCACCTCGTAAGGGGGGGCAAATTTTCTTTTTAACCGATACTCCCCTTCGTTATCCTTCTTTTTTCCTCTTTTTTTTTTTAATTTTACTACTACTTTTTTTATTTAGGAGGGGGAAAGGGGGCCATTTCTCTCATCTCTTTTTTCTCTTTTACCTTTTCCCCTTTGTCTAATCTCTCTCCACATATTTTTCTCAGCTTTTCTCCCACCCTTCCTTAATCAAAATTGCTGAGGATGTCCTGGGATGGACAAGCTTCGTGTCACATCCGGGATGGAGTAAGCTTTACACTGGTTGCTAATTGGCGCCGAAACTAGAGGACTATCAGGCTCAAAGAAACAAATCTTTCTAATCGTGTAACCCAATCTAAACGTCAATTCTCCACAGTGATTGCAATGCGTTTACTAGAAGTTTAGAGCTAAGAATTTGGTGTTGAATCAGACTATATCGCCAGGTTAATATTCTCCTTTCTCCTCATTGTCATATGGTGCCGATTATTTAAGAGTGAATGAATTTTTTTTTGGTCACTCTTATATAATTAGGAGTGAGAGGGTCTGGAACACTGGGTCTCAAAGGTCTTCTATTCTTTCCTTCTTTCTTTAGGAGCTGGCTATGTTCACATTCCAGGAGATGGACACAATGTTAACTAAAGAATCGCAAAATAACGCGGGTTTCAAGGTTGTTAGGGATACTGTCGGCTCATTTCTAGGTGGACTTTCAAACGTACTTATTTCCGCAGCTTCCATGGCAAAGGTTGAAAACGCGGACTCTACGGATAATATAACAGGTTTTACTGGCAATAGCTCAACTGGAGGAAAAGTTTCCGTCAAGGAACGGGTAAATAATAAAATCATCCTGAAATTTGTGAGCTTCCTGTCGTATTGGGATTACCAGCTTAATGACCAAATTCAGGTGGACTGGCTCTAAGTGATTGGGAGACACGGTTACCCAGTAATCATTGGGATGAACTTAAATCTAGAGGTCTGGACTCGAGCCAGACCTGAGTTATCATGATTGTCATGACACTTTACTTCGGCAGTGTCTCTGTCCTATCCGAAGTGCGAATGGGTACCAACGAACTGTTAGGGAAACTAGACAGAATATTTAACAATTATTCACCGAAGGTGCGGTGAATGTTGCTGTATAATCCCCTTGACTTCGTTCGTCTCGGAGATAATTCAGCAATATTCGCTTCGCCTTAGGCGGAAAATTATTAATTAATATAATTGCTCATAACTAAATTATGTAATAGAGAGAGCATTACACATTTTTATTAAAATTGTGGTGATTACTTATGTTGAGATAAGCAAGGATTCTTAGCAGATTTGCCTAATTTAATCAACAAAAACTTCATAACTTTCGACAAGTGTTTTTCAAAAGTCAGAAGCATCTTTTGTGCTCTTTGTAATTGAATTTTCTTCTATTGTGTTATCACTTCCTCGAAAACATTGACAAAACGTGAGGCAGCCATTTTAGCACTCCTGCTATAATCGCCTCGCGCGAGATGATCATGGAGAGATATGACGCAATCCTTGACCAATCAGAGCGCGCGTATCTCTATGATAAAGCCTAAGGGTTGACATTCCAACCAGAAGGAGTGGCAAAAGAAAATTGTACAAGTCTGTTAACTGTTGAAAAAAAAAAGCATGATCTACACTTAACCTTCACTTTTCCCCCTCGTTTTAAGGCACAAAATCGAACATTAAAACTCGTTTCGTTAGTTGACGACTTGGGACATACTGTTCTGGAAAACATGGTGGCTGGAGAGCCTTCCGTGTCGGTGAAAACCCGCAACTTCAACCTGACTGTCAAGAAAGACCTGTTTCAAGACTTGGGTAACACCAGTCTCACAGACGAATATACTAAATTCAAGTTGCCATCTCTGGAGGACATGGGGCTGGGCCTTGATAAGAATGGATCACGGCAGTACACAGCAGTGGAATTACAGGTAAGCCATGGTTGTTATCAAAAAGATAGGATATACCCAACACTCGTTAAAACTAGATTTTCTTGTAAATCATAATTAAAAGAATTGGGTGTTATATTTGATTGTTTTATCTGTTTAACAAGTTAGATAATGGATGGATCATGTACTGCATGATATTTTAAGAACGCCTCACGCCCCTCGAAAGTTAGGAAAACCCTCAATCGAATGCGTCGGTTGCTTGCATTAATCACCTCGAACTCTCCTAAACCACCTCGTGTTCAGACGAGGTTATGTAAAGGCAAAAAAAGGCCTCAAAATTTACCATCTCTGAGTCTCTAATTCTATCTACTCTCGCGAAGCTTTCAACATTGCTGACTCAAGCAACATGCAGAGTGCGTATCACTCATATTTGAAAATATGAAAAAAATAGTTTGGTTCATTTCTTTCTCCTCTTATTCATAGGCGTACGGGCCGGGGGGGGCGGGGGAAACTGTAGCCCCCCCAAATTTTGGGCAACTCAGATTTTTTGGGCAGCACGAGAAATTTGGGCAAGGTAGTTTTTAAAGAAGCTCGCATGTGTCTGTGTATTTTTTTTTCGAAGAGATATTTTCTGTTTCAACCTGAAGTCGGCGTCGTAAATAGGCTTGATTTCCACCGTCTCTCTGGTCCGGTCTTTGATCTTCCCCTTCGGTGGGATGAGTGCGGGCTCATTTTTCCGAACTGCGGCTGGTAATCGAGCCTACGTTGTAAAGGCAGTTAAATTCACGCGAGAAAGTGGTTGCTGCCTAGCACGTGATCACTTTCTGGTTATTTTTGAAGGGGATCATATGTTGATATACATATTTGTAATTTTGCTGTTGTTGGGCACTGCATTCTGTGCTGCACTGCACTAGTTACAGTGGGGAATTTCCAGTCGTGAATTAATTAGAGTCGATTTTAGCGTAACTTTCTAGAATCATATTGTAGATTATCCACTGGAGACTCTCAGAAGATCTGAGTCACGTGCTCGGCAACCACTGTCTCGTGTGAATTTAACTGGCTTTACCTCGTCCTTTATGGGGTAAAGAATGGAAGAGTGCTCCCCGCTCGATATCTACGTCCACTGTTACGGACATGTGCTCAATCTCGCCCTTAAGGATACTATGACACAGATTGAACCATTGCGAAACGCTCTGGGAACTTTCCAGGCTCTGTACAACTTTTTAGAAGCGAGTCCCAAAGGACACGCCTTGTTTAGTGACACAGACGTACAAGGTGAGGATCTAAAACTGACGCTGAAGTCATTAAGTACCACGCAATGGTCATGCCGGTGGGAAGCCGCAAAGGCCGTACACAGGCAAATGGAACGGATTGTAAAAGCCCTGCTCACACTGTCTTCAGACAAAGATCCAAAAACCTACTCTGAGAGCAGAGCCTTATTGAACGCAATTTGCGACTTGGAGTTTGTCTTTGGGCTGTGTGTACTGAAAGTAATCCTAAGCAACACTAGTAGTCTGTGCCGATATCTTCAGGGGTAGATGGTCGACGTCATCTCCGCTCGTAGAAATGCCGACTTGACCATTCAGACCCTACGCCAGTGTCGGAATGAATAAAGTTTCAAAAGTGTATGGCAGTTAGCATCAGCAATGGATCTGAAAATGAAGAATTGGCTGACCAATTCTCAATTTGAATTACGAGAAACCAGGGCACCCAGACAAACGCCGTCCTGCCGCCTTCAAACCCTTGTAGGTGAACACGCGCAAAGACAAACGCAGACACCGGAATCGCACCATCGTATAATCACTGACCGTATGCGTCCATCGATAAGGTGCTGTCTGAGCTTGAGCTCAGGTTTAGCGGAAATGACCAGGAAATGCTCTGTGATTTGGGAAATATCTGTCAGAGTGAAACACCAGATAAAGAAAGTTTCTCCCGAGTTGCTAAATTTTTACAAAATCGACGGGGAGATTCTGGAAACCGAGCAGAAAATGTACGCGAGTTTTCGTCGTGTACGTGGATTAGGCTATAGGACTGTTTCAGAAATGTTGCAGACAATGCATGAGAATGATCTATTTGATATGTTCCCAGAGTTTTCTAGTGTGGTACATATCCTTGCAGTGATACCTGCTACATCATGTTCTGCAGAATGATCATTCAGTGGGTTGCGCGCGCAGATTGAAAACTTACCTCCGCAGCACCATGGGGCAACAACGTGTTAGTGACATCGCACTTATTAACACTGGAAGGAAATATGCCAACTTTGTAGTCGAGAAAGACATGGATCGTATCATTGATATATTTGGCCGTCGAAATGGCAGAGACAGCTATTTCTTTTAACGTGTTTTATATGTACGGGTATGTTAGTGTATGATATGACGACTGTTTCGTAAAAATTTGGGCAACTTGCGAGAATTTTTTGGGCAAATGGTTCACCGCTCGCCCTGGCAAAAAATTTCCCGTACGCCTATGCTCTTATTCCTATCTGTAATTTAAAACTAGACGACAAAAAAAAAGACGCATCTATCTTGTCACAGATGTTTCAATTTCTGGAACTTTCCGTATCTCATTTTTTTTTCCTTGGTGTACCGATTAATCGCAAACACTCCTATCTAATATTTTCAGATGACCACCATCCCAAACAACTTATACACCTGGTCGAACACCAGCAAACAGGTCAATTCTTACGCGGTCAGCCTCAATATTAAGGACGAAAGTCGGAACCCTCTGGACACATCTAACTTCTCTAAAGAAGCTGACCTTTACATACCCCGCAACGCAAGCAACCTCCCTAAACATGAAGAGTTCTATTTGAAACCATTTGGAGACAGAAAATTCATTCAGTACCATCAGGTTGACGTAAATTCTGCAAACTACTCTGTTCACATCCAAGTGAGGCCCGTAAACGAGTCTGTGGAAAAAATAACAGTTCTGTTACGGTATAACGAAAGACCGACACTGGAAAACTTTGACCATAACTGGACAATACCAGATCTCCGCGACTGTTCCTATAAAAAGGAGTCCAGGCTTAGGAATTCCTCGTTACCAGGTTCCGCAAGCAACATGACGAACTCGTCCGCGACCAATTCCTCTGGGATTGAACAGATCCCTGTAATTGACGTGGCGAGACATTGCAAAAGAGATCCGTACACCGTCTCTATTAGCAATGAAGTGGTGACTAAAAGTGGCAAGTATTACCTTGGTAAGTATACGTTCAAAACAAACGTAACAATATATTTAGGGTCTGAGTGGGCGGGAAATTGGGTTCTGCAAGGCGCACTAAAGCTTACAATGGGACAACTCACTAGAGAATCATTCTGCGCTTTTTTCAGCCATATTTTACGAGGAACCTGAGCCTGAGGTCGAGGAAGTAACAAGCTCTTCGAATGTTGAACGCAGACGAAGAGAAATCGATCTCGAACACATTCCGATCGCCTGCAGGGGAGCTCATGGGAGAATGAAGAGGTCATGCGTTATCATACCCCCACCCCCACCGAAACCAACGACTCCACCTACACAGCTGTCTGGAACCAGACCGGCAAATGTCGACTACCAAGGCAATCCCTTTAACCCAAATGACACAGAACATTATTTGATGAGAGTGTTTTCATCCAATTGTTTATTCTGGGATGAGAAAAGTGGAAACTGGATCAACAAGGGATGCAAGGTAAATGATTATTGGCTGGTTAGAATCAGATATTACTTTTTATCGTCTGGCGGGGGAAGGCTCGTCATGTTATCCCCTCAATAACAGTCAGTTTTCTATAGTCTCCCTTTATACTCTGTTGGTGACGACTGATCCCCCACTGTTCCCTCCTGAAAACCATATGATGACCCTCTAAATTCCTCTGACCCCTTTTCCCCGGAGATAAATAATAGAGAGATTTAGCGACGCGTTTACGCGAAACGTGAACGGCAAGAGTTATCACGCGACCTTGTTTTTTCCGCGCCATTTTTTCTCGTTTATCGGTTGCACTTTGCCGTTTCTATGTGAAAGTAATCTGTTTTACGTTTGACGTGAATCTAAGATTTTCTCCAATTTTTTTTCTCACAGAGTAGAAGTTAATTGCCGGAAAAAAGGTCCAAAACTTATTCCTTGTGAGTCAACCAGGAGGCGGCGTGGCCGAATGGTTAGGGTGTCCCGGGTTCAAGTCCTCTACCCTGCAACTCACTGGATTTGTTCTCGGTTGCTCCTACTTCAATTCCTCGGCTGCGCACTGTAAATAGCCCACTGGTCTACCTCCCACCAGTGGGAATTTTTAAGCACTTAGTTAGTCTACATTGTAGCTGAAAAGCCCCTAAGGGGGAGCTTCAATTTACGTATTTATGACAGGGGCGCCTTCAAATCCACTATAACGTGAGCTATGCAATAGCTAAAGCAGCAAGGTTCACGCTATTTTTAGTGAAACGTGAAAGGGTGACCCGACATTTGCTGTTTCTCGTAAGCGCGGTGCTTAGTCTCTCTAAAGACTGGTCCCCTAAAACGCCAGAAGGTGTTTTTGTTTTTCGTCACTTGTTTCTGTTGTCGATGTTCTTCCATTTTTGTGACAAGTCATCCTTTGATGTCGATGATGTTTGATAAATCGCTTTTTCTTAACAGGTCGGAGAGGAAACTACACCTGAACTTGTTCACTGCAAGTGTAACCATCTCACATCATTCGCCAGTGATTTTCTTGTGGCGCCAAATCCAATCGATTTTGATAAGGTTTTTTCTGCTGACCTTAGCAAGAACTTTGCGGTTTTGTTAGTGGTTTGCCTACTGTTTGGATTGTACTTTGTTCTTATCATCATTGCTCGAAGATTTGACAGGAGAGACCTTGATAAGGTACAGTCATGGTAAAGATTTACATTTATGACATCTACCGTACAGCAATCGCACAGCACTTGCGCACGGTCATCCCGCTCAAGTTATTTCGTTAGGTCGTAATCACGTGCGGCTGCTGAAAACCTCGGAAGATTAAGAAACGGCCAACGGTCCTAATGCATAACTACGTCATTACCTAGTCTCGTGCCCAGACAATCCACGGCCAACCGGTTACATTTCAGTTCGAGTTACACGGTAGGATCTGGGCACGAGTTACCCCATCTCTAGCTCTCGCTCGCAAAAGATTTTTCTCAATCCTCTGTAACTACGCTCTTTCTTACTTTACGTCAGCATTCTTTTGATCTCAATGATTTTAGGAAAACTTTTTTATCACGTCTACACTTTGAAGGGGAGGCTTGGGGAGAAAGTGATTGATCTGACTGTAAATTTGCATAAAAATCATTTGAGGTATGAACTTAGCTTGCGAAGGCGATCTACTTTCCAAGAATCCAATCAATGGGCATGTTATCATAAGACCCCACCTTATTTCCTTTTCTTCTGTCATGACGCACGACCCGACTCGCGTGCAGAGCCGTATGATTCATGTAATGAAAAAAACCAACATTTCAAATTCCAATTCCATCTGGAAACTGTGGATAAGAAGAGCCACCCAGTGGAATGTCCATTGTTAAATTATTATTTGTTTATTTATTTTATTTTATCAATAAAATTATGTTGTTTATACGAGAGAAAATGTGTTTCTAAGAAACGAATTAATTTAAAGTATGAATTTATTTTATCGACATCGCAGCTTGGGGCCACAGCAGTGAGGAACAGAAACGAAGCTTCGTTTCCATATCTGATAAGCATCCACACTGGAGTGAGGCAAAACGCAGGGACCACTAGTAGCGTTTATATAGTACTCTCAGGTGATGAGTGGGAAAGCACCCCGATGGCCCTTGTAGACCTTGACCGAAGAGTGTTTCAAAGAGGCCAAGAAAACAATTTCGTGATTACTCTTCCGAGAAGGCTTGGAAACCTTTCTCATATTAGGATATGGCATGATAATTATGGTAAATATAAACGATGAAATGTGAATAATTGAGCATGAAAGAATACATGGTAAATAAATAAATGTATATAATGTAAATAAATAGGCGAAAAAAGAAAAAAAGAGAGAAAGGCAAATGGGGAAACAGACAGAAAGGAATTTGGTGGGCATAATATGCTGAATCCTAGAAGAGACACTAACTCACCGCAAGAAGGTGGTAGTGGCTTGACAATTAGGAAAGACTTGATGGGAAAAATATCGATGACCAAGAAAAGATTAATCAGATAGACCAATCCCTCTCTCATCTCTCCAGAGTAAAAGCAGGTCCCAGCTAATTCTATAGTGATCTTAACGAAAGTTATGGTTGTAAGCTGCAATGAATTAGCACCCCATCCACGAAGGCGGGCGTAGGATAACGATAAGTCCCCGAGTGCACGAATTTCTACTCAATCTCAAAAAAAAAAAGCGCAAGAATTGAAAACTCACTCATAGCTTAGGAACTTTTTTGTTTGTTTCAAGGGACCAATGCGTCTTGGTACCTCAGTCGCGTGTCTGTGGAAGACCTGCGGACGGAGGATCGCTGGTATTTCATCTGTGAACGTTGGCTGGCTGTAGAAGAGGATGACGGGAAGGTAGAGCGAATACTTCCGGTTGCAAGCGAACAAGAGCTGACTCATTTTCAACATCTTTTTGTGAGTAAGACCGTGAGGGAACTAGGCGATGGTCATCTGTGGTTTTCAGTTGTGACTCGCCCCGCAACGAGTCCGTTCACACGGGTTCAACGAGTATCATGTTGTCTTTCGCTGCTATGCTGTACAATGGTCACAAACGCCATGTTTTATCGGATGGGAGGGGAGGGTGAGAAGGCGACCATGATACAAATAGGATCATTCGAGTTTGACCTTCGAGGTTTCATCATCGGAATACAAGCGAGTCTCATAGTGTTCCCTGTCAACTTTGCATTGGTTCAAATCTTCAGAAACGTGCGTCCGAAACAAGTAAAACAAGAGCAAAACATGGAGACTGTGGAAAAGCAAGGAACAGGTTTCGCCGACATCAGTAAATGTTCCTCCACTGAGACGCTACAGAATGCGTCCAGTCAAGAGAAAATAATTAAAAAAGACGATGGCGACAAAAGGAACAAAGACGATAAGAAAAAGGGGAAAAAAGGTCTTCCGCATTGGTTAGTCTATGTGGCTTGGATTCTCTGCTTCTTCTCGTCTGTCACCCCGGCAGTTTTCACGGTCTTCTACAGTTTGTCGTGGGGACCAGAAATCGCAAACAAATGGTTGTTAGCCTTTGTAACGTCCTTTTTCCAGTCAATACTAATAATACAGCCCCTAAAAGTGGTGTTAGCTGCCCTGCTGTTTGCGATAATTGTTAAAAAGCCGATAGATTCAGGTGACGAGGCACACGACAAAAAAGAAGTCAAAGCAAGTCCTGTCGGTGAGGAGACTGGGGACGATATTCTACTTGATTTTGATGAGGACGACGAGAGATACAGGTACAAAATGTAATAACAAGGGCTGGCTGCATTATTCAAAATAAAATCAACTTCATCTCGGGTTAGTGAGGCAATATTTGCGTTGGGGTAACTTGCAATTCTCTAATTTTCCATCCAATTCTATGAGGAGAAGCAACCTGCAGAGCTCGAAATTTATACAATTGAAACTGTGATAGGCTCTAGTGGCTGTCTGGCTGAATCAGAAAGGGTGCGGGTTAGTGGTTTCCATAAACAACTCTTTCCCTTCATCAGAGGCCATTTGCACAAGATGCATTTGTAATTAACTTACACACAAATACCAATCAAATGACATATTGATATTATATATTATATAAAAGAGTTCTTGATAAGTTATTGTAGACCCTTGATAAAATATGGTTATCTTTTTATTTTTCTTTCAATGCGATTTTTCCTCAGGCCCCCGGACGAAGATTTCTTACAAGCCGCCCGAGCACAACGACTGAAGGAAGTGCGCATGTCCGAAATCATAAAAGAAATCGTCACTTACTTTTTGTTCCTCATCCTACTCATGCTGGTTGCCTATGGCAACAGGGACCCCAATACGTACCTCCTGAGGAAGACCCTCCACGAAACTTTCGTGGACCTGGACCAAACCGGTGTGGACTTTTCTGACGTATGTATAACAAATGATTCTGTAATCAGATATTATTGTCCTAATTCTTAGGAGGCGCCGAGCGCGATGGATTGCATGCTGTTCTCGTCGAATAAGACATTTTATCGTGACAATGCCTCTTTTAACCCAAGGGGGAAGAATTGCGTGGGTCAAGAATGGCCTATTCGTATAACTCCTGACTATTCAAAGAAATTGCCTGTAGATTAAATGAAGAAGAGTGAGACTCTGTGGGCCGCAGGTAAGTAGCTAGATTGCTAAGCAAAATATAAGCTGCCGGCGCTTGTGACCGAATTGTAGGCACATTTTAAGATAATTTTCGGGAGGTCAGGTTGCCTTTTTAAATCTTAAAAAATTGATGATACTTCTTGGTGCAGGAGTTTAAGTTATGTGGACATTGGGGTATACTTCTCCTTTAGGGGAAAAAAGATTCCCTTTGCATTATCCGTTCGCCGAGCCAGCCTTGTAATACAAGGGCTTTTGCCCTTTTTTTTTTTTTTCCAGGCTAGTGACTTAGAGCTATTTTGGCACTGGAATCGTGAGACGCTAATACCAAATTTATACCCAGGGGTGTTGTACAACAACAAATCGGACAAGTACACTGGGTTCATTTCTGATCGAAATAACTACTTGGTTGGAATCTCTAGGTTAAGACAGGCACGCGTAGAGAAAGGTAAGACTTCCTATACATCTTTGTTGTTTCATATGGTGCTAACACAATTCATAAATCAAATTTAAGTGATCAGTTTGTATCCCTTTTCGCCCAACTCGTTTTCTTTCCTACCGTGTCGTAAAAGATCCTGATAAATGTCCCTGCTGAATCCCGTCCTGTCAGGCAATTATATTTGTGGGCAGTTCCACAAAAAAATGCATTCATGTTAGCGTATCAAGTGGTATTTTTCCCACACCAATCAGATCGCCGCATTTGGGTATGTATCTCGCACCTTTCAGAACGCCGCACTAGGGTATATATCTCGCACCAATCAGATCACAGCACTGAGGTATATGTTGAAGTGTAGTGCATGGTTAAAAATTAATGTCTTGCTTTATTCCTTTAACAGATTCCTGTGAGGTTGACGAACACTTCACGTCTTTTTTTGATAAATGCTATGCAGAGTACTCACTGCTTAATGAAGACACGGAAGATTACGACATAGGGTGGAAGTTTCTGAACAAAAGTGCCGGCGATGTGAAATCTCGCCGCAAAAGAAGCGTTCAAGAACAATTTGCCTTTCGTAAAGGAGATAAAATTCTTAAGGGCTTCGGAGAGCAACCTAAAGTTCGGCGCCGTCGTACAATCGAACCTGTTTACACTTCTACATCAGGTCGTCAGCAGAGAAAACGGAAGAGGCCTGGTAGCACAGCTAAAAATTACTATGTATTGAACTCTGCAATTCTACCCGACGGATCAATTGTTTCTTGTCCCTCCCGCTGGTTGCATAACAGTGCATTAGAACTCAGAGGGTATCCTTTCTGGGGACGATTGACCCTATACAATGGAGGTGGGTATCCCGCGGAATTGGGATACGATTACCCTACGGCACTCACAGTAGTGGCTGATCTTCATTCACATAACTGGGTAGACCCACAGACCCGCTCAGTGTTCGTGGAATTCACCGTGTACAACGCTAATACCAACTTATTTGGCATAGCCTTCATGTTCGTTGAGTTCCTGCCCACAGGAGGGGGTTTCCCATACGCCCACTTTGCGGTGGCAAGGTTGTACAGTTACGTTGGGCCATTCGCCAACTTCATTCTTGCATGTCAGATTTTCTTGATTCTGTTCATGTTGTATTTCATGTACCGCGAAGGGAAGCAGATGTACAAGCAACGGAGGGCGTACTTCCGCGGTTTTTTCAACTGGATGGAGGTGACACTGATCATTTGCGAGTTTGCCATGGTAATTCTCTACTTTGCACGTCTCTGGGAAGTAGACAAGAATCTGATGAAGCTGCGCTACAACCCCAAGGATTTTGTTAGCTTCCAATATGCCGGGGCCGCAGACGAGTCCCTTACTGTAATCATGGGTGTCCTTGTGTTCCTTGTAACTCTCCGATTCCTAAAACTGTTCAGATTTAACAAGCGAATGGCACTTATCGGATCAACCCTAGGAGCAGTTGCAAAGCCTCTTGGGATGTTCTGTATCAGTTTCATGATCGTTTACATTGCCTACGCAACCATGGCTTGGTTGGCGTTTGGTATTGAAAACGACAAGTTTAGGAACTTCCTCGTCGTTCTTGAAACTCAAATGAGTATCGTTCTGGGCGATTTCGACTATGATGAGTTTCAAAGCGCAAACCGTCTGCTCGGACCCATCTACTTCTTCTCTTTCATGTACTTCAGCGTCTTCTACCTCCTGAACATGTTTATGGCGATCATAAACGACACCTTTTCGGAGGTCAAGTCCTCTAACGACAAACAAAAAAATGAGTACGAAATGGTGGAATTCATCATATCCAGATTTAAAGAGAATTTGGGTCTGAATCGAAATCGCATCGGAACTAGCAAGAGCCCGTTCGTGAATCCGTCTTCGGGTTTTCCATCATCTCCCCCGTTCTCGCCTTCGGATTACAAGCACAGGGAAGACGACAGTGCCTCGGAGAAAACCGAGCAAAGCCGAATGGAATACGAAGACGAACTGCACCCGACAAGATCTGACACTCAAAGCGTCTTTCGTACTCTGTCGGCGTTGGACAAGCACCTTGACGAGTTGACGGCGTTCGTCAAGAAAAGCGAAAAACACGTCGTTAAAAGCGACGAAATGCTTCTCGACATGATCGATAAAATACAAAACGAGACAGGCGATGATGAACTGTACGACCAGTTTTTAAATGAAGTACAAACAAATCTGTAGACACTTCCGTGTTGTTATCATGCCATTATGACTTTTTCAAGCGTAGTAACAGTAGGTTCCGGCCGAGCTCTTTTAAAAACGCTCACATAGAGGCTTGGTTATAAAACGAAGGCCTTATTATTTTTAATCAAAATGGCAGCAGTTCAGTTTTTCGCTTTATGCTATAAAGTTAACCATTGATTTACCCCATGTCGACAAGCACTAATTTGACGAAGTACGTTGTAAATACTGATAATTTTAGTAGATTTTTGATAGTGACTAACATTTCGCCTGGACGCTAAAAATCACAGGGGCACAAAGAAGTCCAGGGTTGTTACTTCTTGGACAGTGTCGATAATTGGTAATTATGAAGGCAATAGAGCAATCGTGTGATGGCATGATAAATAGGCAACACTAAAAAAAAAAGATTTCAAAGTAAGCAAAGGCAAAGATGCACTTCATGGAGTCACGTTAATATAGCGACAGTTAAATCAAACGACATTTGATTATTGCGCACGCAACTTCTGGATAAAAAAATTAGTAACATTTGCCATTTGATATTTGAGCGTCACAGAAATATACATTGAGTGCACATTATTCTACATTCGGCATGCTTTCCTAAAAGCTTCCTAGCAAAGTCTGAATATGGTCCATGACAAATTGAAAAATTTGCAATGGACCAGCGAGAGGTTCGCATCAAAGAGCGCAAAATTGCAGCAGGTGGAAAGCGCGGGAAAATCTGTGTTCTTGTAACCATACCTCACTAAGAAATGGGTGTTCTTATTGATTTTAAATGACTGCCCCAGCACCTTAAAGTAGTAAAATAGGGCACAGTAAACAACCCAACAATGCAAAAAGTTTGCTGTCTTGGCTATCAACACTTTGTAAGTTGGCGCAATTTTAATCACGTGTAAAAATAGGCTCGACTGTGTGTTAGATGGTAGGACACTATGCGGAAGTTTCCTTTATTCAGCAATTTGTACCGATGAAACGCCACCATTCTTTCTCGACAGTGAAAATAATAATCACTTACATATTTCAGCGAAATCAGAAGCTAAGCAGTCTCCGGAGAGTCAAGTTTAAAAGCTGTGATAGCTTTAAGGTTACATTGACTAGGCTAATCTTATACATAAATTAATCCATCGTTTCAATTAATTGATCTAGTCATCTAAGGCAGTTGATGTTGACCTCTAAGACGCTTTTGTGACGTAAGGAATCCTTTTGTATTGAGAAGCATTCGTAAATTAACGGATCTAATTGTATCATTGAGTCATACTCACACTAAGTAATTAAATTAAGACCATTTGTTCGACAATTGATTTTAAACAATTTTGCCACAAAGGGAAGTCTTTTGTATTGATAGATGTTTAAAATTATTGATGTAATTGAAACTTTGACACAGACTCACTGTTAGGTCAAGTTTGAAGCACTTGTACGCACATGAATCCACAATTCTTACATTTTCTATGTCAAAATAAACAAGTCTAGAATATTTCGTGTCTCCTTTGCCTTTATGATTTTGTTCTTTACTTCCTTTAATATAAAAGTTACAGTTAGATGTATTACTTAAAATTCTTCTGTGTAGATTCTATCTGTAAGCCAGAAAGAATTTGTTTGCCTGCCTAGATGAGTTACATAAAAAAAATCACATTCCCTAACTGTATTAAGTAATTTTACATCTTTAACTGCCTTGAGCCAAAAACTGCTCACGCTGGTTACAGTTTATCATTAAGATTTTCTCAATTTTTTGAAGTGCATCCGTATTTCATTATACTCAAAATGAACATTCGACCTGTCAGGAATACTTAAATAATCTGCGTCACTAAGTTTGAGATAGCTTTAGATATTTGCATGACAAGAACTGCCCTCTATTTCCAAGATCAATACTACATTAAAAAAAAAAAAAAACAATCTCCACACACTATATATTTCAATCCACTACCCATTTTGGCTTGCCTGTGAATCTTTAAGCTCCTCCCTATTAAACCTTTCCACTCCAATTTGTGATTAAGATGCACCTTCTTCAAACATCTTTAAAGAAAACTCCCGCAAACAGGTAATGAGAAAACAATTGATTTCACTATTTTACAGTGAAGTGAATAGCAGCTAGAATGGAGGATTACTGTCAGTAATTATCAAATCTTCAACATTAAAGGGCATTAGGTCATCAATGTGAAATTCAAGATATTTGCACAACTTTTTGAAAAGCACTTACAGGTATATTGCCTCAAATTGTACAATCTGGCACCTATTACGTCTTCAATTACTAAACCTTATGGAAGCCCAGTTCCCAGTCCCTCAGCATAAGCCTACTCTGTCACAACATTGCTCCAATCAAAATGCACCACAGTAACTGTGATGTCATCTCGGTAACTGCGCACATCAGGGTATGGTAGACTTAAGCTCATACTGACAGAAAGGTGATCTTCGCCGCCAAGGGCTTCCTTGATCAAACAAGAGGCTGAATTTTTCAAATTCGAACTTGGCTCCTGATCTGGGGTTTCAGGATCTGAGTTCTGTTTATCTAAATGATCTCTTACAAATTCCACAGCTTCTTCATTACTAAGCATATCCCACAAGCCATCAGTGGCAAGAATAAGAAATTTGTCTGTACGTTGTAGCTGGTATGACATCACTTCTGGTTCAGCAGCAAGGTAGGGTGGAGTAAGAAATTCTGCCATATCAGCAAATGATTTATCTCCTTTTGGATTAAACACTTCCTCTTGTTTTGTTTTGCTCCATTTGAACATCACATCGCCAAAAGCTCTTAATGGAGCAAGGCGGCCTAAAAGTCTTTCATACCTGAGAACAGTGGAAGCTTCATCTGCTGGGTGTTCATTCAGTACTCGTTGAACTTCCCTTGGGTTGCCTAACAATGCAAATGTGAAATCATTAAAAATACAGACTAAAAACACCTATTGCCTAGGAATTGAATCTTTACATACTAATATCAGCATGTATATTCCCTAAACTGTTTTCTATACATTTCCTGTGGCACTAACAAGGAAAATTTAGCTAAGAATCAAGAGCTTTACAATATCGTTATCATTTCTTTAGTTTTCATGAGCTTATGTTTGATTCAACAACAATACCTTGATGAGAGATGACAGGTCAGGGCTCGACACTAACGGTAGCCCACTAGCCACAGACTAGTAGAAATTCAGTTTTGGCGAGTGGTTTTCAATTTCCACCAGCCAGTTTGGCTAGTAAACAGACTTCAATTGTCATAACATCTAAAAACATCTAAGATGTCACTAGCCACTTGACTAGTAAGTTGAAAAGTTAGTGTTGAGCCCTGCAGGTACAAGCTAGTTACCCTCGGGGGTTTACACCCTTTACACCTTTTACACCTTTACATCAATACGCATATTCTCCATACTGTTCTCCATGAATTTTCTAAGGTGCTGACAAGGAGATATTGTTTAAGAATCAAGAGCTTATTTAGTTGGTGATCATTTCCTTAATTCTCCTGACCTTAATGTGGGATTCAGGGGTGATGTTGTAAAGAGAAATTGGATGCTAGTCATTGCTTGGGATTAAAGTGTTATATGGGTTAAACAAACTGTACAACAAGATTGTTTAGTGGATCATCTGTAGTTTGCAATTGAGGAGCTGTTAGCACAAAAGGCTAAAAACTATCAGTTTCTGTGACCAGCTCATACAACAGTGGAACCTTGATTTAACAAACCTCTATATAACATAATCTTTGGTATAATGAACGATACTTTAGTTTCAGCCCGGCTAAAGTTACAGTAAAATGAAAGCCACAGAACCTCGATATAACGAAGCAATTTATTCAGTCCCTTGGCACTTTGTTAAATTGAGGTTCCTCTGTAGGAGGGTGTTCATGACTAAATCTCATACACTATCCAATAAACTTCTTCATTATACAACATTAGAAAAGTTAACCCTGTAACTCCCAAGATCTGATTATAAATAAATTCTCCCCTCTAGCTGCTACACCTTTTCTTGTAAATTGGTTATGAGAATTTGGTGTTCAATCAAGGGCACAACTTCCACCCGATAAAATTGAGTATTCTCAATACCTTAACTGGATAATGTGTGGGAGAAGTTACATGTTAATCACTTCTAGGAGTTAAAGAGTTAAGTCCTATATTAATCATGGAATGTAACCAGTTATTGATGGAGTTCAAATGTGTTCCATTCAGGCAACGAAGGCTTTAATCCTTTTACTGACACAAATGACCAAGAAGTAACAAGCAGGTACAGTTGAACCTCAATTATCTGGATCTTGATTATCCCGATTTCTCAATTAAAGATTCCAGACTTTTTCTCTGGTCCCTATTTTGTCATAAATATTTACTAGTCGTGATCAAGATCCATAACGTATACTTTTTAAAACTACGGTGTTGAAAAGTGATGTAAAGGCAACCTTGTTTCACTTTCAAAATGCAAAAGCAGCGCTTGCATGTGTCGTAACTAATGAAGAACATTTGAGTAACTTACATGTACTTCAACATTTTTCTTTAATTTGAATTGTTGATACACACACATGGAGGTACTTACAACAGACAGTGAAGATGCAGATGACATTTTTTTCAAAACAATTTGTAAATGCTTTGTTTCATGATTAAATGTCACTTTCTTAACTTAATCAGTTTTTGTTCCTCATTAATATTCATATACTTGATTATTTGGACCCTCAGTTATCCAGACCCTTGATTATCTGGACTATTTTGTTTAGTTCCAACCAGTCCAAATAATCCAGGTTCTACTGTACATGTAGATTATGAGGTGAAAACAATTCTATTTCAGGGATATTGTTTCATTTTGGATCACTTTCTTAGGGATTTCTGCAGATTGAAGAAATGTTTAACCTGTACAAACCAGTTATAGCTGGTCTTCACACATTGAACATGGGTAATGACTAGAAAAAAATACACTCAGAGATAAATAATGAAATTTTAAAGCTTTTAATTGAATAGTGAGGCAATAGCATCACAGTCTAGCACTCTCCCAATCACTAAACTATGCTAAGAGCTCATTATGACAAAAAAACAGTGAGCTGACTGGATAGCGGTCTTGTCAACAAAACAAAATAACACTTACGAGAAGTATGATCGGTAGACAGTTGTAATGCCGACCACTGCCCGTCCTCACTCTTCACACCAAGTACCGCACGACAGTCTCCACAGTTGGCCACAGTTAGTTCAGTTCCCTTTACATATACCACCAAAGCACAAGCTCCTGATGTAGCTGCTTTTAATCTGTGTTCATGTGCTTCTTTGTTGTCCCCTTCAATTACTGCTTCACAACTCAAATCTTCATCTAGTCTCAGAAAAGCTTTAGAGAGAGCCCCCATTGTCTGAGAGACTTGCTCCTCTTTTGCATCTACAATGGCTGTCTTGTGACCATGAGTCTCCTGAAGGTGCAAAAAAGTAGGAGCCATGGTTCCACTGACATCATGTCTCTTCTGTATCGTACACAACTCCAAATAGTAAGCTTTAAGGCTTTTGTAGCAAACAGGATCCTCCCTATAATTGTAATTATTTGGGGAGTTTGGCTGAATGAAGTGCTCGGAGCAAAGAAAATTCTTCAAATTTGGTCCCAAAAGAATTTCATTTGGAAGCAGTGACAGCCCTATATAGTCTGAGAGACGTTGGGAAACATTATGAGCACAGCTGCTTCCGCCGTGGCCATCCAGAACACCAAACAGAAAGGCACCTCTGTCCTGCTTTAATTTGGTCACAAACCTTCGATCCTCCGTTGGATTATTAGATGGCAGCAAGTTCGATTCAAATTTACTTACAATTCCGTGCTGGAGTTTACCTGAACATTCATTTTCCGTTATTATATCCATAACTTCCTCATCAGACATCATCCACGGTTCTTTATGCCTATTACGAGTATTCCTTTTCAATAAGTTCGAGTGAGCATGAGGTCTGATGCACGAATAAGACTGCAATAAAGCTATATTACCACGATTAGCGAGTTCACGATAGGAGAGAACAGTTGGTATTCTTTGACTCCAAATATCGTTCGCTTTTCTTCCGCTTCTGCTACTGATATGTCCAGAGAATGACTTCGTGACTTCTAAAGAATACGTCCAACGTTGAACGACTGGTAGTCGTGGAAGTCTCTTAATGAATGCAATAATCGACGAAATAGCTGACATGTTTGTCAAGTCTTGCAGTAAAGACCTGATCCACTTTTAACTATTCAGCTGAATCAGCAATCAACAAAAATAAGTACATCTTAACTTCACAGTTTCATAAATGAATGTCCTTTAAACAGGTCTAATCCTTGTGCCAATAATATCAAACACCGCACCGATATCTTGATGATTAGATTGCTCGTTCCTTCATCTTACTACGCGTAGAAATACAAATCGTTCTTGCTGCAATCAGGAATTAACTTCGGATTAGGCAATTAAGTCTGAAAATGAGCCCATAGATAGACACAAATTAACGCAATCAAAACAATTTGTTTTGCACGGACTCAACCGCCATGTTTTAATGAATTACCCATAGGCCTCTGCCGCTAACTAGTTCTCAGTTTCTGCGGGTACTCTCAAGAAATATGCAAATTAATTAGATTGGTACTCAGTTCACTCAGTCCTGATTCCCGAAGAACTGGATTAGTTTAAAATGCAACTTCTCCTAGGGAATAGCCAATTTTATCCAAGGTCGCATAACAAATCCATATACATACATACATACATACTTCCCAAAAGAGGATTTTCAGAGGCAATACAATTAAGGTAAAAATTAATTCTACAATTAAGCTAAAAATTATGTATCAGACTTAAAATAGAGCAATGACTTAAATAGCGGAAGTGCTTAAGTTACTTAAGAGGCGAGACCTAAGGCGGTGTTTAAACACATTAACCGATTCACAAAGTTTAAGATGGTTAGATAAGGAATTCCATAAAGTAACTGCTCTATAGAAAAAAAGTCCTTTGGCCACTGTTTGTCAAAAGTGTGCTTAACTCTATTGATCTGAGCTAAACGTGACGTGCACGAAGAAACTGTTTCTAGAATATGAAGTTTGGATCCATAATTACACCGAGGTCTTAAGCGGCTGTTGCAGGTGCAATATCTTTCCCGAAAAGGGACAGATTAAAATCATCATTCCCTTTTGCAATGTTTTGTCTGCTTCCAAAGATCATTAGTTTCGTCTTTGTCTGGGTTCAAAAGTGAGTTGGTTATTAAAGCACCAGTTCCGTATTTTAAGCAGATCCTGATTTATTTTATCTCTGGCCCCTCTCTCTTCGTAGAGTGCAAAGGATAACAGAAGTTTGGTGTCATCAACAGAGCATTGTGGGGAGCAGAACAGTGGGATTGACGGCAAGTCATTAACGTAAATGCTGAACAAAAGTGGGCCGAGTATACTTCCTTGAGGTACGCCATTTCTTACTTGCATGCGATCTGACAGAGTAGAGTTGATGCGTACAACTTGGCGACGTGATGACAAATAACTCCGGAACCACTGTAAAGCAGTTGTAGATGCACCGACATCCTGGAGTTTAGCCAAAAGAGTGCCGTGGCGTGAGCTATCAAAGGCCTTGCTCATATCAAGGAGGACAGTTGCAGTTAATTGCTTGTCGTCAATAGCACGCAGTATTTGATTGGTAGTGTGAATCAGTGGTCTCGGTTGAGTGGTGTTGTTTATTCCCACTTTGCTTTGATGTTAAACGCTCCTTTGAGACTAGATAGGTTGTGAATTGATTAAAAGCTTCCCTCTCACAACCCTTTGATCTCCACTTTTCAGAACTGGTGTCACCACGGCTAGCTTCCACGCATCTGGGATTGTATTGGTCCTTTAGTAAACGAGGCGTTAATGATGGACGTGAGAGAAGGCAGAATTACGGGAAGGCAATCTTTGATAACTCTTACCGGAATTTTGTCGTTACCAGGCGCCTTGTTTGTTGCTATCGAATTAACAAGGGCTTGTACTTGTTTGCACTCTACAGGATTAAAGGTAAATTAATCTAATAATGCAAATGATCTCGGAATGAATGGATTGTTGTTGAGCTAAAAGTTAAATTTTAACGCTAAATCACTGATTTTCTTGATTGTATTATCGCCAATGCCTACGAAAAAGTAATTTAATTCATTTGCCACAGTTTTTTTTATCTTTACTGTAGGTTCTTTGTGTAGGTAGGTAACTTATTAGGTATGCATGAACGGATTGTTTTCAAGATAGAGTTCGTGTTGTTTTTATTGTTTTTAATCTGCTCCATCACAAATTCTCTCTCCGCAACTCTGATCATATATATCTTTTTTAACCTCGCCTTTAAAATTTTTATATGCAGACCAGGCGTGAGGATCGTTGGTCTTTCGTGCTATTTTTCTCCAGTCTTCTCTTGCTTTATTTCCTGTTATTTCAACAACCCTGGTTATTTGATGGGGAAATAAATACTTATTCTTAAAGAAGTTAAAAAAATTTCTTTAATTTCCGTCTCTCTTCTAACTGATTACTTTACGTTATACCACATCTTGTGCTTCTTGTTCGTCTGTACACAAATCAGCAAGTTGTATCTTTTGCAAGCTGGCGTTAGATACGAAGAAAAATCTGGCCATCTACTGGTTTGAAAGAGACACACGATAAACTATCTGTGATTGCATTTCCGATCAAAATATCGGAAAGTGTTTCTATTTCCCATGTTGGGATAGAAAGAAAAATAAAACGGAAAAGTGAAGAAAAGAACAGGAGGTGTCGACAATTTATAACTCCTTTAAAACCCAAAGGAAATGTTAGTGAAATGTTAATATGGCAACAGCCCTTCTACCCCCCTCAAAAATCCCTTCCTCACCCCCCCTTGCGAGAGAAGACATAAGATGTCTAAGATTTTCTTTTTTCTAAATTTTTCAATTTAATAAACTTTAAATTGGACTATAGCGTGTTTACATTAACTTAAATGATATCTGTGGGGGACGGGGGGCAAATTGAACCTTTCTTGGTAATTTCCATGTATTTCCAAAATGAATGCACAAAAGAATGACATAAACCTAGAGACGTTCAGAACGCTATCAAAAGCATAGATCTTCAAACTAACAACTAATAACATCACTTTTAAAGTCTACTTCCATTTACAGCGAGAAAATACTTTAAATTTAGAATACTGGACTCGTATTTTTATAATCTTATTCTATGATTTGACACCATTCGTTAGAGGCAAAGGTTCTGGGTTTTCCATCATTCTCTTCATGGCAAAGATTGTGTAGACAGCTCCCCTGAGCTTTCTCTTGGCGTTAAAGGCACTTAGGTGATCCAGAGTTCCCTTCCGATGAGCCGTAGATAACTTTCTATTTTGGGTCCACGGATCTTTGACAAGCTCTGTCGCTGTCATTCGTTCATTTCTATCGATCATAAGCTGCGAAGAAAAACATTGGTAAAGGTTTAAGAGCGTGTGTCAAGAAGTTAAGCATTAATCGCCCGGCAGTAGTAATCATCGCATGAATCACCGCCTGACAAGCCATCGGAGGAAACTTTAGCAGTAATCGTTGCATTCGACGACCGACGAGCCGTCGAAGAAAATTTCAGTGGTAATCATAGCGTAAATGACCACAATGCTTGGAATCAAGATCATATCAAGATCTCTTAATAATTTGAATATATCAACAAAGTTGAAATGGTAAATTTGCCACCGTTACGATTAAGGGCTAAAGCTCGAAACGTCAGCTTTTATAATCGTAACGATGGCAAATTTACCATTTCAACTTTGTTGATATATCCAAATTATTTCGTTACCCCCACCGACGCAGCCCCAAACAGTTTCTTTAGAAACTATCAGCCTTTAGTATTCATCAAGATCTCTTACCATGCTTTTTATCAGCCGCTTAGCACTGTCAGATATGGATTTCCACTCTTGATCCGGAAAGTTGTATTTTCCAAGCGCAATAACTCCGAAGAGTTCACCTCGATTTGTGCTCCAGAAAGGAGGATAGCCAGCCTTTACAGAAAGAAAATGTTATGATTTAGACATGTTTATGGCAGTATCAGCCAGATACGAAGGACAAAACCGGGCAACTGAATCACATTTGTCAGTTGAAAATCTATACATCAAAGCAATCTTAATTCAATGTATGTCTAACGCGGCGTAGAAATTGTACAAATTGTGAAGTGTCAAGGCATAAAAGTACATAAAATCATAATTTATCGATAAAAATTTCCTCAAAATCTGTAGTGGTCATTCTAAAATGACAGACGAGTTTTTTTCTAGTCGAACTAACAAGCCCTGCTACTATGGACCGAAAGTTTAGAGAGAAAGAACAATACAAGATGAAATCTCTCAAATACAAACAACGCTGACTACACTCTTCTTCTCCCTTTTTAGGTCTAAATACTAACCAACATCGTATAGAATATCACAGCGCATGCCCAAATGTCTACTTCTCTGCCAATGGGTTGTCTAGTAACTGTCTCGGGGGCAAGATACAATGGTGATCCTTCTATTGGACAAGAAATTATGTCGGAATTTTCTGAAAGGCCAAAAAAAAAAAAACGTATAAATAGTAAAGCAGAACACCATGCTACTATTTGGACGTCATATCAGTTATGAAGACTACGGTATGAAAACGCAAGGTTTAATATCTACGAGAGTACAGATGCGCTGTAAGCGTCACGAGTGACATTCAAAAAGGAACGTCGACTGAACCTGGGGAAGGGCACCGAATTTTGAAGAATTCAGCTTCTGTCAAGGACTCAGGCATCCAAATATTACGTTTATCTAGTCTCTTGAATGAAATGTTATAAGCTGGAAACACAGTGACCCCGAGATTTGGCGTACAATCAATTAAAAAGTGCTCGATGGAGCCATTCCGTAAAACTATGGCAAGAGTTGTCCTTCACGTTACTTATGTAGTGAGCTCTACGAGTCTCGAGTAATCAACTGCTTCAGCTTTTGTTTCTCACACCTGACAGTTTTTTGGCCAAACCAAATCCGCCGAGCTTCAGTGGGGGGAAATGGTTGTTACTTTCCGCTGACTTCCAGGTAAGAATAAGTTTTTCGGGTCTGATATTCTGCAAGGAAAGTTGTTGTTTAAAAGGTCTTTCATCACTATACACGCGACTTAAAAGATTTAGGAAAGAGTTTAAAGATATGAATGGCGGAAAACTGAAATAAGACTGGCATACCCTGTGTACAATTCTGAGCCCGTGTATGTACTCCACAGCGGTGAACAGCTGTAGCATCGCCTCGCGTGCAGTGCTCTCTGAGAAGGCATTTCTGGATACCAGGTCCTCGAAGAGCTCTCCTCCACACGCTAGTTCCATGACCAGGTAATATTTGTCAAACGCAGGATAGCAGTGATGAAGCTTAAGAATGTTGTGATGATTAAGTTCTCGGAGAATCTAAGAAAAAATTCGGTTTTAAGTAAAAAGGAACAAAACTTGAAAATTTGACGGTTGTCATTCTGGAAGGCTTGGCTTGAAAAAGGGTTAAAACTGAAACGTATGCAGTAATTAGATTACAGTGTGCCACAACGGTTCTCCGGTCACAAACAAGAGTTGAGAAACACTAAACTGGATAGACGAGGAACTGTTCAATCCCATAGCATCATATATGTAAAAATGCATATATAAGGCTACGCTTGAAACAGGAACGATCCTCAAGAACAAACTCAGAGAAGTCATTGTAGTTGTTCCTTTCTTATTCTATTCTGTTGGCTTCTTAGGTCAAGTTCAAAACAAACGTGTTTAAGGCAAGGGAGGGGAGGGGGGTGTTCGTTTACTCCTTGATTCCATTCCTTCTCCTAAAATCCTGAAAATCGGCATCCGTCGTACATACGTCTCTTGATAATACTAGAGGGGGGTGAATAGGCTAACGGATCGGCGGATTTGCATACCCCTATTCACCCCCCTCATACTACCTTTCCTCTAAGCAGTCTTAATTAAAACAATGTCTTCCACTCCTGATTCTGAGCGGTACAGCGTCATCAGTTTCCGAAAGAAGTGTTATCAATGTCAGTTCATGATATTTACTGAGGTTTGAAGTATATAGTGCTTATTACTGAGAAAGCCGCCCACTACAGACCATTTAATTCAAGTCGATCCGACCAACTCGCTCATTGGCGTTTTGCCACCAAGAAGCGAAAAATAAATCATTGTAGTAATTCACCATAGCATCAGTTTCTGTCCTGATTTTATGTGCGGTGTGGGTTTTTACTCGACGTCAATAAAATACGTGACAATCGCACAAAGCCCTACATACGCAATTGGAATCCTCTCGAGTTCGTGACAATGAGCTCTTTTACATAAAAGAGGAAGATGTTTTTAAAATATTTTAATTACCGGTTTGCTAGACGTAATTCTTAATGACTGCATTGATCCCTCAAGTTTAAGAGGCCAAGTTTCCACGCTGTTTGACTTTGCCGATATTTCGCACGTACCTGCCAATCATCATATCAGTTAGCAGTGTTTGAAACACAGTTTAGCCGTATATGCGGAAATTTGCACTTATCTGTGAATTATTTTCCGGTTTGGTGCCGCGCATCAAACCAAGATATAATATATGAACTGACTTTGTCATTTTGTTTGTAGGTATTACTTCGCTCCCTCTTGAAAGGCCTCGGTATATATAAGACTTAATGAAAAACATTTGTTAAGTCATGGCTTTAAACTCATTAAATTCTAAAGTTTGTGGTCCATACAAGGCATTTTATTTGAAAACAAATGCAAACCTGAAGGCCATACGAGTTCGCAAAAGAATGAGAACTGAAGATCATTGTTCAACCCAAAGAAATCTGGCCTAATAATTACCGATATGCAAACATAGGTAAAAAAAATTTGTACAACAATTGAACACAAAATTTATCTTGCACTTCAATATAAAGGGGGTAAGTTTCAGCAAAAAAAAAAAACTGTGGTGCTGCGTCGGTGGGGGTTTTATAAGATTTTTTTATTAAGAGAGTTGATAATATGAATTGGCTACCGTAGAGAGACTGCAAAGCTGACGTTTCGAGCGTTAGCTATTTGTCAGAGCGAAGAGCCAACATTTCAGGTATAACTGACCTCGTATGACAATTACGTGGACTCTCAAGACTCAAAATAATAATTTTTTGCTATCCTTCCTTATTCTAATCGATTCTCTTTCCTATAGTTTTTCTGATAACGCTTGAAATACTGAACAGAAAGGCATCGATCCCGAACTCACCGAGGTTCTCTACCGCTTCTGATGCTCACCTGGATTTCTTGTTCAATTCTCTCCTTCTGCTCCTCTGTATCACAGGTTATTTCCTTCACGGCAAAAGCTTGTCTTGTCCGTTTATCAATGCATCTTTTCACCTCACTAAAAGATCCCTGGCCCAAGATTTCCCTAACATCAAATTGGCAGACGAATTCCATAACTTGCCGGCGTTTGCAGTTTCTAAGTTTAATCGCTCCGTCTCAAATGAAATCCATGCATCATGATGATGTAATCTGGTTAATTCAAGATTGAAAACTCGAAGATTAACTATTGATTCATTATTTTTAACTAGGAGAGGCAAAATACAAACTGTGGTTCGCAATTTTTCTACTATTTCGATTCTTGAGGTGCCAGGAACGTGCGCTACCGACAGAGTTGTTAAAGCGAGCTAATTCAATAGTCATTCAATAACCATATGTCAAACCACAACTCACAATGAAGTAATAAATAATATTTGATTTGGTTCACTTGTTAAATACAATGAAACTTTAAACAGCATAAACAGCTCACTTTCGCTGGGACGATAGGTACTTGTTGCTGCTTATCGGCCGATTGTTGAAGCTCCGATACTGTAGTTAATATTTTTCGAGAAGAAATGTACACAGGTTTTAATTAAAACGACCTAAGTAGGTCGGCTTCGAACAGTTTCCTTTCAATTTCGGAGAAACAAATCGAGGGATAATTTCTAGGTGATATCACTCTTATTGCATACTATTATTGCGCGCTAGTGTCCCAGGGTCCTCAGGCTCCTTCCCTTAAGAGAAGAAGAGAGAGGACTGGGAACGAGGTTACGCGTGTATCACACGTTTCTCATGGTGTCGTCTTATGGCGTCACAGTGCATCTTGTTTCCATGTCAACAAGGTTTTTTCATAAGCTTTTGCTGAACAATCGATATTCGCCGTTGTTAGAAGTTACTAAGTCAATTCTCATTCAAAGGAGAAAAGTGAAATCTTCAAAAAAAAAAAACAAACAGAAATAGAAACCAATCAATAAAACTGAAGGCACGTAAGTTTTGTTTTGCAGTTATCATCTGCGTAACTTGAACTTTGATGCGCGACAAGTTTTTGAATTATTCTTTTTTACCCATGCAGCATACTAACTTTGAAGTCAATTTAATGAACTCGACAATTCCGCTGATGAAAAGCTGGCCCAAAACGTGTGGAAAATATTATCATCTACTTACAATTTCACCAAGATGAGAATGGGAGAGTTTCTGGCATGGTGACTTACATAAAAGTATATATGAGTGTAGGTTGTAAATCACGAGCCAGACCAACATCCCGTATGGGTTATGACGCTGGTAAACACATAGAAAGTGCAGGGGAGGAATAGTGGGAAGGGAAGACTGGGTAAAGAAGAGAGTTGAAATTGTACGAAACAAATCGTTCAAACCCTATTCCATTAAAAGTCAAATAGGGCGTTCCAAAATCTATCTTTCTCTACACTGAACATTCGTACATATCACCTATACATTTCTCACGGAAATCAAACTCTTTTCACTGATTTGCGTTTAATTTATGGAAATCCTTTCTTAGAAAAGTGATGATACACTCAGTTCTTAATTATAATAACCCTTTTTCCCAGGTTAAAAACGAAAATGATATCTTTGTACCACAATGTTCGTAACAACGTAGTTTGCTACGGCCTTTTAGTTGTAAGTTGACTCCCTCCTTGTTTAAGGAACGTTTTTAGCCGTAAGACCGACCTGAGAGGCCGGGTTTACAATTTTAAAAATACTTCAGCTATTACTTTATGTCCGTAAAAATATATGGTATGGTCTCTAAGGATCATCATCAGACATTCTTCTCCCTACTCTATCTCTTGCTCTTCCTTCACCAGCTTTTACTTTAATGTAAACGGAACTTCTGAACATTCGCGACCTTCTAGGTTTCAAGTCCGTTAGATGATATTCCTTAGGCGATTTCGCTTCATCATTGTCGCCTCCATTAACAGTTTCGTCAATTTTATCAAGTCTTCTTTCTTCTTCGTGTTCTTTATTTGACAGCATTTCTTGCACCTCGTGTTCAAGTTCTGGGTCAGGCGTGTAGGAAACCTTCCGCGTCAAACGAACTACATTTTGGTTAGGTGTGAAAGTAAGCCTGCAGTAGAGAACATGATTGAAAAAAACTTCAGCGCTTTCACTCCCAAGATCTTATCAGAATTTCTCCATACTATCAACGATACAGTCGTTATGTTGTTATTTCGGAGAGTTTGGTATTGGTTCAACTCCAATCCCCTGATTGATACTTGTTTTTATTCTCGTCACTTTTTGCTTGATATTGGATTGATATTGCAAGGAGAAGTTCTCCCTTGGTCACTCATCGGAGTTATAATGTTAATGAAGTATAACTGCTTACTACTGATCGGACCTGACTGGTGTGATGGGTGAAATTCTATCTAAGCTGACGAATATTTCTCTACAACTTTGAAAAGGGGAATAGAGATCGTCAACCATGTTCCTTCCAGCTAAAGAAATATATGAACCAACCGTTTACAGTAATTTTCGACTGAGTGTCCAAAGCCTCCTGGGATTGCATAACTTTTTCCTTATAACCATCTGTGATTGGTTTAGGAAACCACCCCATTAACCAATCAGATGAAAGATACTTACTATTGTTCGGAACTGGCGAATGAGATGGGTGAAACTTTATTTAACGAATATTTCTCCATAACTTTGAAAAGAGGAATAGATTCGTTAAAACACATGAAAAGCACCTGAAACTATGTGATCCCCCTACCCAAAATCAAATCCTCCACCCCCCCGTCCTTGTGGGTCTAAGTACCTTAGCCTGTGAGGGAGATTGCGTATGCAGACAACAAAAGTTTCTCCTCCGACTTACCTTTTCCTGGCAATAAGTCCTAACACCACTCCCTTTAGTTTTCTTCTTGCATTGAAGGCTGTGAGTCGGACGAATGTCGTTTCCTTATGAAGAGAAGGGACGAAATCACCTTGAGAAATCCAGTCGTGACGAAGCGCTTGAGAAGCTGTTATTCTGTCCTCGGGATTCACTGTCAACTGAAAAATGGCAAAGTTTTCAGAATAAATCAGATGTTGGAATGAGTATAATGTTTAAAACAGACGACTTATGTTCTCCGCGCCCGTTATACTCTGCCCTACTTTGTGCTCTGAGAACTTGCTGGTGAGCTCTGCCATTCAAAGCTCAGGGCTAAGTCACATACAAGACTTCACAGTTATCAAGATCTGATGTTATTACAAAATGACAGAATATCGTGCAAAAATCTCGAAAGCTTACATGTATATATCTTTAACGGACTGTTTAATAGCGGAACGACCGGGTCTTGAATAACCCCACATAAATATACATTACGTTTGGCATGAGCCCACTTACCATTTTGCTTATGAGATCCTTAGCCGAGTCGGAGACTGAGTCCCAGTATGGAGAAGGAAACGAGTAGTTTCCTTGTAGAATACTAAGAAGGAGAAACTCGACTTTCTCATTCCAGAATGGAGGATAACCAACCTAATAACATGAAAAAAGAAACATTTTGTGAAAGCATGTCAAAAAATCTTTTACTTTCTTTTATCCAGGCTGGATGAAGGTCCAATTCATTTTTCCCCAGTGTTTTTACAGATAGAAGGTAAATGAGGGTCATGAAAACGTAAATGAAAGGCTGGGTCAATTTTCAAGTGCCTTGAAAGCTTGCTACTTTAATTAACAAATGGTAAACACCACAGCGTACACTATTGAGTTATGGATGCCCGCGGGAGGTTGCTAAGCACGAAAGAAGCGTAAGAGTCGCTCGAGGCTATCGCCGCGAGCGACTCTAGCTTCTTGAGTGCTTAGCAAACCTCCCGAGTGCATCCATAACTCAATAGTGTACACTGTGGTGTTTACCATTTGTTTTATAACATAACATTGATACATTGTAGCTAAAGAGTTCCCTTTTATTTAACAAATCTTACGTGACCAGAAAAAAACAAGCGCGCGCGGAAAAGTAGTCTTTGCATTTGCTCACGTCAGCAGCGTATACCCATGGGCAAATGGGGGACGCTAAATTGACCAATCAGAGCGCCCGCTTTACTTTGGTTTTGTTATAATTTCAATTGTGTAAATTCTCTACCACTGCGTTATCTCTGCAGGTCCTGATACTTACAAGTAGTAAATAAAGGATAACACCACAGGCCCAAATGTCCACAGCACCGCTGACCGGCCTCTCTAATATAGTCTCCGGTGCAAGGTACATTGGTGAGCCGCTGCCGTGACACTCAACCATTTGTCTTCCGTCTAAAGAGACATTTTAACCAACAGTATACACTAAATTTCATTGAATGTTTAAAGTAGTCTGGGATTGCTTCAGTTTTGCCTCTTAACCGTCTGTGATTGGTTTAGCAAACCATCCCATTAACCAATCAGATGAAAGGTCAAACCAACTTTGACTTGGTCTCACCCTTTTTTCCCGCGCTTAAGGCCATACGCATCTATTTATTTTGACTTGTGATTGGCTCTTTGTTCTGATTGCATTCCGTTTTTATTTACAGCGGTTTTCAATATCGTGATACAAAAAGAATAAATTAATAAGAACAATAACCCAGCAATGAAAATAGTTAACGAAAGAAGGTTTAATCAAGCATTTTTAACCAAATGAGGGAACGGTGTTTTGGTTAGCTGATCCGGTAGAGTAACAGCAGTGGCGTAAGAATTTTGTCTTACTAATCTCAGAGCGCAGTGGAGCAAAACAAACGTGCATAGGTGAATAATCCGTTCCTAAATTGTTATAAGACCACTGCCTACTTTCTTTTTTTTTTTTTTTTTTTACTATTTCATGAAAGCAATATTTCACCTTGTATCCTTTTTGCAATTCCGAAATCTGTGAGTTTGATAATTGGTGGACGGTCCACTTCTGGTTTCTCGGCCAACAAGAGATTCTCTGGTTTTAAATCCTACAAAATAAGAAGACAACAACTTGACTGAGAGCTCGATGCCTCGAAGTCTGTTCCAGGCCTCCAGGTAGTAAAACGAAGCGCGGTAGTATGCGGCGCATGAGCAGCGGCGAAAAACTAGGAAGGGCTGGGTCGGGTCGAGTTGGGTCATGTATATTGTGCATTAATCCTCAAACTGGACATTTTTAAAAGACCCGTTCCAGCATCCAACAATATTTGTGCAGTCATTGGCCAATTACACTTTGGATCATACTGGGAATGTTGTCAAAGTTCATGAGATTTTTTCTGGCGCTTTACTCAGATTGTAAATGTTTTCTCACACTGGACAGTTTAAAAAGAACCACTCCAGCATCTAACAACTTTTGTGCGCTCATTGGGAAATGATTACACTTGGGAACATACTGTGAATGTTGTGAAAGTTCACGACATTTCTACTGGCGCCTTACTCAGATTGTAATTTTTGTTCCTTAAGTTCCTTTCAGCAGTCTAACGGTATTACATGGTATTTTCACATGAGAGAAATCGTCCACGAGAATTAAGTTTCTTGTTTCTACCGGCATCCAGTGTAAATAGGTTATAATTGTCTTACTAACTAATTCACACTATTGTTCTCATTTGAATGTTTAACTTATAAGGATTCGTCCAAAAGCATATCAGAATTAAGATCATGATGATCCTCACCCGGTGAATAATTCCTTTCCTTGACAAATAGTGTAGCGCTCTGATGATCTGTTGGGCACAAGCGCATGCGTCTTTCTCGCTGTAAAAAGGTCTAGACACCAGTCCATCGAAAAGATCTCCTCCAGGGAGGTATTCCAGCACCATGAGCACTTTTCCATCAGCGTAGAACACTTCCTCTAAACGAACTATACTCACGTGATCCAACTCTTCTAAGATCTGTCAACAGAGAAGTACAAAAACAAAATTGTAAAGGATACGAGTAAACCATTTAGTGGTGGAAGCTCGTTGTTTTTATTAGAGATCCTAGAGAACAATATCCACGATCTTTCTTTTGATGGCCCCGCTTTTTCGCTGTAGTCTTTACAAACTGACTGATCAGAAAAGGCTATGGTAGTTAAAGAGTAATCCTCTAAATGAGAAAGATTATATGACTGTACAGTATTAAGCCGACAGGCCGGACGCTGTATCTGAATACTGCATCAAAGATACCGCGGAATTAAATTCCACAGGGAGGTATCAGTCATGGATGCACGATCACCTTGAAAACAGATCTGTGCTGCGAGCAATAAATGTTTTCTGTTTAAGGTGGTGAAAAAAGAACAATAGAAATAATTAAAAGTTTCAACCTACAAAGGTATAGGAAAATCAAACCCACAATTATCAGTACCATACCCGAGAGTTTACTGCTAATTGGGTTAAAATTACTTGAAGATTACTTTCACTCATTTTGTAACTAATATTGTATCATGTGAGGCCAACGGGTGCGTCTATTGAGAACGTAAAATGCAATTCGGGCTATTCAGTTAACTCTTTAAGATAAATCTTCTTGTAAGGAACTTTTGGACTCAAAATTTCTGAATGCGTGGAGGTATAATATGTTTGCATACATTCAAATAATTTTTTAATTTTACTTAAAAAACTCAGTGAGCTTTTTCGTTCTGTTAACTAAAACCATCTTCATCTATTTGCGCTAGCCTCTGGATCCATGCAATCCATATGTATAATTTGCCCCGTTTTTTCCGAGCCATTTCACCTAAATTCCGCGTATTTATATTTTCCAAATGTTTTAATCTTTTTTGACGAGAACGTTAGACAATATTTCGTTATCTTCACAGGAAAATCTACACAGCCTCGCTAAAGAAAATTAAATTAAAAACACGAATTATAATCAACTCGATTAATAAAAAAAACTTGAGTAAAATAACAGAAAATATGTGGAGAACTTTCAGTTTACTATTTACCATGCACGAAAAAGCGACTTCTCTTGATGTTTTAATAATGTCATGTTTCGTTTGTTTTTATATTATTTCGAGTTGTTATATTTTTAGCGCCACTCTGGGAAAAGCGACGCGAGACATGTTTGGTTAAAAAATGTTGGTGTAAAAAGCAAATCCTGCATCATAAATGTTACAAGAAACATTTATGATTCATTAGCTGTCCAGCCAAAAAAAGATCAAGTTTTTAAAGAACATTAATCAAGTGCGCATAGTTATTTCATTGGGCCATGGGCGAAAGCTCACCAAAGCAGAGTCGGTTGTCGACTGTAGACCTGCCTAAAAAAACAGAATCTTTCTCACGGTATTTTAGCGCTAAAATAAACAACACAATAGGATGCACATATGTTGATAGTTTCGCCGCATTCCACCGAGGTTTTAAGTTTAAGTTAAGAAATAGCCTATTATTGTGCGATCATCCGTCAACTGAGATTCACCTCTTTGATGCCATTTCTCAAGTCGATACCTGTATTTATCTCTCGGGCGAAGAAAACATCAAATTCTCATAACACTCTCACCTCCGACTCATTTTCTACTTTCTCTCTATGTTCTGCATCTTCATAATGAATTTCCTTGACCGCGAACAGCTGTAGTGTCTTACGATTGACGCATTTCTTCACTTCAGCAAACGACCCTTTCCCAATGAGTTCCTTGATCTCGTAAACCTCTTCAAACTTCATGTTTCGTGTAGCCGCAAGAAATTAATGAGCTGTTGGATCTTATCCACTGCGATGGGAAAAAGGCCAAGAAGTGTGTTCAACTCTGAATGGACAAGCGCGAACATTCAAAGAAGTTTTTCTTGGTTCGCGCACGGTTTGGGAATGTGCAAGACTCAACATTTGGTGATTAATACTCGAAGAATGTCAGTATTGGAAATGAAGCCAGGCACAAGTTTACACTGTCCCTGATTTTCTCGAATAAATTAACACATTGCTCTTTTGTGCCCGTAAATGTTCGCTTTTGATTGATTGACAAAGCCTTAAACAAAAATCAAGAGTTGTTTGTTAACTGAATAAACACGATTGACAGCAAATGCCCAGTTCGTCGCCCACATTGACTCATATCCTTCGACAAGACTCTTCGCTGGATAGTAAAACACTTTGTCTGCTGCATATTTTAAATTCACTGTAGCATAAGATCTCACAAACATCAAAGAAAATTTCTGAGTTACAAAAACCAGGGAGGAGAGCGACAACTGTTAAGAAATTATCTTGTAGCTGTCAAATGGAGTCGGCTCTAGTTTTGAAAGTAAGCCCTGATTTGAATTTTATAGCTTCATTCGGCTTCTGTTCTGGCACAGAGCATTATTACAGATTTTGAATTCTCTACGATTTTTGATTGAAAGTGCAAACAAGTTATGCTTTATTATGCAGCCGCAGCGCTCCTTTAAAATCACGTAAAGCCCTATACCTAAGTTAATTATAACAAAAGAGCAAATTAATCTGAGGAGTTAATTACAAAATATAATCGAAGTTGAATGACGATTTCAAAAGTTAAGTGCACAAGAGAGAAAATATTAGTAGCAGCCTTGGAAAACAATTTCCTGCAGGAACGATGGTGATTCTCGCTAGATTATCGGAAATTGAACCCATTTTAAAAGTTACTACCTGTGGTTACCATCTGAAATCCATCTAATTTAAGAGAGAGACTGGGAACAAAGACACAACCGACTGGAATAGTTGGTGCGCATGCACAGTTCTCGAAAGGAAAGCAGTGTCCCTCTCTGTAGGAAGTTCAGACTCCCTAACTCTAATAATAATAAGCTTTATTTGAAATGCAAAATAATGGATCAGATAAACTAAAAAGACTATCTGGTATTATTAAAAACTGGATCATTGGATAATGCAATTCAAGACTTTTTATTGGCTTAGCCATTATGGTATATGAGCCAATATACCATAATGTACAAATATGGTAAGCGCACGCGTCAGCTTTAAATTAAAAGGGAGCTAAAAAATTGAATAAAATTTAATAATTTAATTCAACGTTTTTAATAAAACAATTATTCCACCCGTGCTTGTTGGATTCGAGATTATTATAGTCAACGAGGCGCGTAGTGCCTCGTTGGCTATCTATCATCTCACATCCAATGCGTGTCCTTGGAATAATTGTTAATTAACCCATGTGCATATATATAGTATAAAATCTGTATATAATAAAATTATAATAAATATATAAAAAAGGACTAAAAATATCATGAAACAAAATAGTAAAAATAAGACATTATAAAAAAAATAAATTATAGCATAGTCCTTAGGTATATACAACATATTTTCTATGAACATATCAATTAATAAAAAAATAACAATTCACCTAGTCAGTTAAGCCACAAGGCATTTATGTTGATCGTGATCCTCTTGTAATTAAAATTCAGCGTTTACTTTTAAAGGTGCTGAGATTTGTTATAGTTCTGATATCCCTAGGTAGAGAGTTCCAGTCTCTTACAGCAATATCTTTAAGTCTTTATTTATTTTGCACTATTTACAAAAAATTATTTCTACATTAAAGTACATTAAAAAGGAAAGACATAGGAAAACTTAATTACACAAGTAGTGAAAAGCAAAATGTGCGCAGTGACCAGAGTAGCTTGAGCTTTCGAGTTGGCCACTGCCACAGACAATTAATTGGCATGAACATGTAAATTATAGGCATTTACATAACAGTAAAAAACAAAAGCAAACTACAGTCAGGATATTAAACAGATTGAGCATTTCAAGATATATTTTGTATTGCTTGTAGAAACAATTATAAGAAAGTTTTTTTAATTCAAAGGGGATAGAATCCCAGATTTTGAAGCTACAAAGCAAACGTAGTAGTACCATAGTTATTACTTGCTCTTGGTCTGTAAATATTAAAATAAGTCGCAAATCTGGTATTGTGGGTATGAATCTCATAAGCTAGTGTAAGAGTTCCAGAAAATATTGCTGGGATGTTTGTGGGGTCATTTTTAATTTTATGTATAAAGAGAGCTAATTTAAATTTATAAATGTTTTGGAGTGTGAGGATTTGCAAAAGATTGAAGTAGGGCATAGCATTATCTCTGCTATGAGCAAAGAATATGCTGCGTACACATTTATTCTGTTTTGTTTTGACCTTCTGTAACCTAGTTTTACTGGCACTACCCCAACAGCAAATTCAAAGGTTTTTTCACCGAAACCCAAAATTAGCATTAGTAACATTCAGTAAAGAGTCATCTCTCAAAGAGTGAAAGCAAATACTAGAAGGTTTTATAAGTTTGTCTTGGAGTTGCTTTGGACAGTTAATATCATTCACTATTTTAATGCAGTTATAAATCGAAACAAACGTCTGCAGTTGAATAGAGTCAAGATCTTTACTTGGTGCCTTAAAACTTGTGAACATGTTCTCCTATTGAGTA